TTTAGGAGGTGTCATATTTGTTCTGGCAGCTGGGAGGATCAGAGCTTGGTGATAATGGCCAAGGACCCAAGCACATGTCTCTAATTAGATTTAACCACCAAAAAGTAGGACTGATTCTCTTTCGTAGTTCCTACTGAGCAATGTTTGACCTATTGCAAGTCTGGTTTATTCCCATAGCTGGTAATTCAAAATATAGAGATGAGCATTGAAGGTTTCTGAGGGACTTCAGTCTTCTCTCTCCTGCCAACAAACTGGCCCAGGTTCTTGCAGATTCCCCAGTTCCTATCGTTTCTCCCAGCAATCAGACAGAATGTATGGTGCTGTGCTAGGAAAATGTAAAATTTGGGTCATGTAAAATCCTTCACCACCAAACCCAGCCATCTGAAATGTCATCAACAGCTGCTTTCTGGATTTCCTGCATCATCTGTATTCTGTATTAATGGAAATTGGTGGAGTGATCATATGCCCCAGTACAAGTCATCTGTCAGTCCTTTACAGGGAGATTTTAAGGAAGGGGAATGATGTAGTTTGGGCAGGCAAGGGTGTCTGGTTTGGTTTGTGGTTGGAGCTGTGGATTTAACTGTCTCAGCTCTGGTGAAACAAGAGTGCTCTGACCCCTCCCTGGTACCAGCCAGGCAGCAAACACCCAGGCAATAAGTGTGATCATTTCATTTACCTTACCTCAGCATATCCTGCTGCTCTTAAGGTGTTTGGAGATCAGCTGAGACAATTCTTGCTCACACCATGCTGTGGGACTTGCTACAGAACTGACCCTTCGGTGTGCAAGGGACAGCCCAGCTGGGGCCAGGGTTGTTAGGGTGTGATGGTTTATGTCAGGCCCCTTCCTTTGTTTTCAAGCTCCCAATCACTTTCAAAGATGTAAGAATAGGGAGGGTTTTGAGAAAATTTGACTGAGGCTCCACTTGTCTCCTTTGCAGAATTGCATTAGGAATTCTGAGTGAACTCTGCTGTTCCTAATGCCTCCAGGTATCAATGGTAAGTCCCACAGCCCCTTTTAACATGTGATTTACAAAGAGAAGGCCACAGTGTGATTTGGTGTCTTTCTGCACATGCTGAGGTTTATGTAAAGTGTGCAATACTTTTTATGTTGAATTTTTTTACACACACAAATGTGCACACAAAAAATGCTGAATACTCCCCTCCAGGGTAATACCTAATGTCATATACAGCCCAAATTCAAGAACAAGCATATAAAAAAAAGTAGCTTGAACTGTTGTTACATGAGTGTGAACTTTATTATTTATCAATACTTTTCCAGAGCCTAGAAAAGAAGAAAATGGAAACAAAATCTGAAGACAGTATGAAGTTATTAAAAAGCAAAGCAGGACAGTGGAAAAATAATATCTGCTATTTCTTTCATTATATTTTTCTCATGATTTTTAAATTGCAAATGCATGTAAGCATCCAAAACCTGATCGAGATGCAGCTCATGCAGACCTCCCATTTATGTGCCAAGCAGGCATTCCCCAGGTGGGCAGCTCTAATGTGAGCACCCTGAGGTGGAAGGGCCACCCACCATGTGGAGAGGGCAATTTCTCTCCGTGCCCTCTGCTCAGCCTGCCAGCACGGGTGGCAGCAGGTGCCAGCTGGCATTCCAGTGGCACAGCAGGGCACTCCCTCCCTCCCAACCTCAGCTGTGAACAGCCCTGCCAGTGCCCCCACCCCCAGCTCCTGGTGGCACTGCTGTGCTCCTGGGGAAGTTTAGGTGCCATTTCATGTGGGCATCTGTCCCCCTGAAAACTCAGCTTCTGAGCTTGCTGACATAGTTTTCTAACTACTTTCCCAGGACAGTAACTATAAACATAGATATGTGTACATTCTTTCTGTTACATGTCTTGTGCTGGGCATCTCTCATGGCCAGTGCAGTGAGAAAGTGTTATCCTGACCATCCAATCCCTGGCCGTGGTCAGAAACCTATAAATCCTGGGAGGAAAAATAAATTTTCTCTTCCTTTTACCACACCTCGAGCTGTGTCCGTGTGACCTATTCATCTTCAGCGGCAACAGGCATCTCCTGCCAGTTCTAGTCTGGCCATCATTTTAGGCTGTGCTTTGGGGCTGGGCTCAAGAGCATCTGTCTTTGTGGGACCCACAATTCCCCCATACAGGATTGTGTAAACAGAAAAGGCCCAGCTCTCAGCAGTGGTGAAAAGCCCCTTTCTTGTCATCCATATTTGATTAAGGAGGACTAGTCTTAGGCTTAAAGTTTAGGGCTAAAAAAATGAACATGGTGGGGCCCAGGATTTTTCAAGATTCTCAAAGAGATGAGGGATAACAGGGCAGGAGCTGGCCTTGTGTGTGGCTGGTTTTGTGTCTGTTCTCTGTGCCCAGCAATGATCTAGTTTCATGTTGGGAAGTAGCTTTGTCTTGGGGGAAGAAAAGCCTCCATGGCTCAGGGCATCCCAGGATGCTTCTCAATGCACAATCCAGCAGCTTTACAACCATGCTGCACTGGCCCCAATATGCCCCAGCTGTGGTCAGAGGTGGGGAAGTCTGAAAAATATTCATTGCATTATTGTAGCGTCATTCAACATTTAAACTTCTGGTGTATAAGAACTGAGGTTGTCTAACAAGTTCCTGTAGATATTGCTAGTGAGTGACCTGAACTGTTGTTCTGAAGATATTGAATCTTTTCTGGATGTTTTTCATACTGAATAGTAAACAAAACCCTGGGCAACCAGCTGGTCCAGATCAGGTGGGTATATTCGAGATCAGATGGGTATATTTCATTCTTCTTTTATGTTTCTTGCTACTCAATATGCTAAAAATGTATGAAATAGAAAGTTTCTTCAACATAGAGAGAGGGATCCTTCCATTCCCACAAATTTTGGAACAGAAAGTACTGCTTTCCTGAAACCCCCTCCTGCCCCTTTTCTTCCAAAGGAGAAAATTCAGCAAAATAAGGCTGGATCCATGAGCTGTATTGGTTTTAATCAAAGTATATTTCCTGACAGAGAAAGCTACTCTGTCAAATGTTGCTATGTTAGGTATGGATCTGACTGTGCATAGACACATATTAGCTAGATTTTCAAACTGTAAGGGGATTAAGAGCTCGAACTGATTGAGATTCAGGAGGGAAGCATTTTGCTTCCTTGGAGATGCAGGCCCTAGAGATTCAGATCCCCAGGGAATGCAACCAGGGGAACAGACAGCTATTAACTTTGACAAGAGCTCTCCATCACTTGTTCTAGGAAAATACTCTGTAGGAAAAAAGCGTGTTGTTAGTTCTGGGTTGAGGAGGCAGATGAGAAGACATTTCGGTGCTATTTATGGAGTTTTTTGGAGTACCATGCAGGTCTATTTTTGTGATTTTATCAGTGGTTTAATACTATTTTTGACAGAGGTGGGATGATTAAATCTGTAACAGGGTCTAAATTTGTATCCATCTTCTATATGTGTATCTGCTGCCACATAGTTTTCAGCTTTGGATCCCCATACGATGAATTTAAATGTACTAAAAATATGTTTGTTTTTCATAGTTGCCTGCTGCTGGTTTCCTTGAGCTTTACAGGCCCCTGCTGCAGTCACAGATCAGTTCAACATGGAGCTTTTGTAAATAGTGCTTTACAAATATAATCATGCAGAGTCAGAACAAAGGTCTGATCCCATAGGAGATGGTCAGGAAGAGATCAAGATGTCAAAGGACCTTCTCCTGGTTTAACTTCTGAGCTTCTGGCAGGTGATAATGTAGTGCTGTTCTGAAGCAGGGTTTGCATCTGTGTCATCACATTTGTTAGTCATAGTGAGCCCAGTGTTCATTAATTTGTCTGATCCATCTGCAGCCCTCTTTAGTCTTTTGCTCTCTGTACCATTCTCTGACAAATTCCATTATGGGTAGCGAGTTTTGTTAATAATGACCCAAGAGTTTTGCCTTTCTCTTTCTGAGAGCCTTACAGTTGATTTGTTCTGCAGGCAGAGATGTCCTGCCAGCAGCACTGTAGATCCCAGGGGATCTGCAGCGCCCACAAGCCCTGTCCACAGCATGGGAGCAGCACGGTGTCTGCGGCAAAGGCCCCCTCCAGCATTTGTTCCCCCTGCAAAGGTCAGGGTAAGGTACACTATGAATGTGTGTGGGATCTAACTGCCAGCTCCTTCTGCAGGAAAAATATATTGGAGCTGCCCAGCCTGTCCCTCTCCTCCAAGAGTGATGGAAGCTCTTCCTGGGGAGCTGCCCATCCTCAGCTCTGCTCCCCGCAGGCCAGGGCTGGGAGGGGAGACTCTGTCCGTGGGGTTGTGTCTAGGCAACAATGACCTGCTCCCTTCTGAAACTCTAGCAAACAGTGATGAAACATGTGGCTGACTGAGGGAGCCAAAGACCTTCATTATTGCTCTGTGTGATGCTCTGCACCTGCTTTCAGTGTTTCCACTGCATGTGCCCCCCTCACCTTGTGCCACTGCAGCAAGGGTCACTGCCAGGCAGCACCTGCAGATCCTGCCACTCTTTAAAGCACCGTGATGGGGAACTCTTTGACTGATTCATTTCTTAGACATTTCTTTCACTCTGACAATTAAATAACCCAGAAAACTCCATTCACACATCCTTAAAAGGCAAGTGCTTTGCTGCAGGTCAGGTTTAAACAGCTCAGCCCCAATGTAAACATCTCAGTGCTTGGCAGCCAGGTGCTGCAGAATCACAGTCACAGAATCGTCTGAGCTGGAAGGGACCACGAGGGTCATTGAGTCACCTGCTGTCACTAATGGAGCTCCTTTCAAGCAGGTTTATCTGTGAACATCCTCAGTGTGGCTGATTTTTAACCATACAGGATATTGGAATATATATTTTAGTTAGTGCAAACACCTTCTATATGTCAAAACAAGCAGCACTTTTAATATGCAATGTTGTGTATTTTTTTGTTATCATAAGTGCTTTCTTTAAAATGGTAACAATCATTTCTACTGTTTTTGCTAATATTAGATTTTCTTCTTTTGTAATTTCTCAAAATTACCAGAGCTAAAATAAAAATAAACTTCCTTTAGCTCTTAAAAACAGGCAACTGGCTTAGAGAATAAAATACAGAGCTCAGAAAGAAAACAAATTTCTACTTTACCTTCTCCCTGACTTGGACAGCACAAATACAGCACCAACAGAAAAACATAAGAGTTACACTGAGTCCTCCAGATCTTGTCTCAGAAATGAGTCCCACAGCTCCCTGCAAAGCAATTGGTCTAATTAGGTGGTAGGAAGGAGCTTCTTTAAATTCCTCAGAAATTAAGACGTGTCATCCGCTTAACATCTTAGCATCTGTTACTGCCTCTTCCACATTTCTCTGCTACCTCAGCCTGAAGAACACTTTCCTGGACTTTTCAGAGAGATTAAAAAAAAATAAAAAAATAAAACCAAAAAACCAAAACCCTTATAATACAGAAGAAGTTGGCTCTTTCTTCAGTGGGATGAAGCATGTAAGGCATTTCACCCCCTCCTTATTTCTCAGTTTGGTGCATGTTTGCCTGGGTGAGTACAATAATCACTTTGCTAAGTAAAAATATAGGAGAATACAAGCATAACCTTAAATCCTGTAGTTATCCTTACTGATGTGATCATGTTCTGAAATATTTTCCTTGACTACTGGTCCTTGTGCAAATGTTACTCTCTGTTTTTATATACTTGCAGTTTTGTTTCAAATGGGCTATTTTTAATCTCTAACAGTCAGTCAGTAGAATGACAACTAATTTGTTGTTTTTTGTTTTGTTCTTTTTTAACTTTGCTGTTGTCTGGCAGCAAGTAAGTATTTAATTATGGCTAATTGCTCATGTAGTAGGCATAATTTTAGGGCAGGATGTGCTTAGAGACCCAGTAAGAATACTGGGTAAGGTACCAAGGCAATGGAGAAAGTTTCAGGCTTGTATGTGTAGAGTAGAGGAGAGATGTTCCATCATTGCAAGCTGAAGAAGTTAATTTTTCATTCAAACTGTCTGGAACTGGTTGAGATTTTTTAGGGAGATCCTGCTATTTGTTTTGTTTCTGTTGGTTTGGAGGGTTTTTTTATATACTCTCTATTTCCTGCTGTGCAAATTCTGGCACAGTGGCATATAGAAGTAATTTTATTAAAAATATCTATACAGATACAGTTCTGAAAGTCCATTGCAGCAACTGGGTGTATTATGCACTCCTGGTATTCCCAAAACAGCTCCTGTTTACTGAGAGTCAGGTAACAGAGCCAGCCAAATAACTGTCACCTACAAAATGCTTTTCTTTGGCTTCTGTTTTGTTTTAATTACAGTTCAGGCAAATTATGCCCCCTATTTCTTTGATAATGGAGCCAGAAGCACAAATGGGAACATGGCACTTCTCAGCCTTTCGGAGGACACGCCTGTTGGTCAGTATTAAAATTTCTATGTTTAAACTGTGAAACTGAAGTTGCTTGCTCTTATGATTAACATATATATATTCTTGTAGGTTGTTGTTATATGCTGTGATCTTACATGTTTTTCTCTCAAGCTTTTAACTGGCCTCAATTTAAAATGACATTTTTGAATTGTAGCTGCAATTTAAAACGTGAATTCTAGCTCCCTCTTATTAGTTCTACCAATCTATTCACAGCTTCAGAGCACAGACCTTTGGGGTCAGAAATAAATTCATAGTGAGAGGCTTCTTACCAATTCTGTAAATGCTTATAAGAAGAAAGCCTAATTTCTAGTAATTTTATCAGCCTTGATAAAAGCAAGCTGTACATTGAAAAGGAAGGGACATGATTTTTTTCTAAGCACATTTTTAATTTTTTCATACAAATAGTAGGAATTTTTTTCTACTTGCAGTGAAAATTACTTTGTCTAAATAACTGATATTTTTTAAAAAGATTTAGATTTTTATTATGGAAAATTCAAAAACTGATACAGTTTTCATATTTCAGCACTTTACATAAAAAATATATTAAGTGATGAACGTCACCTTTAGTTCAAACTTTGCACTGAGATTTTATTTAGGATTTTCTTCTGTTCATCCGTATCTTTCACAGGCTAAACCAGAAAAATATTTGGGTACCAAAGCACCCCTTTACCTGTGCCTCATGCAGAGAGCTATGGCTGCACAGGGGGTGCACCCAAACACCCCCTCCCAGGGCTTTGGCAGCTGGGGAAGGGCAGGATGAGGGAGGGATCAGAGGGCACAGCCTGCTCTCAAAGTCTGACATTGCCACCCACGCCTTCTTAAACCAGACCAAGGTCACTCTCTGCTCTGGGGAGCAGCTGCTGGGTTTGCTCAGTCTCCATTTCTGACCCAGTGGTGTTAATGTCATCCAGGACACACACTGGGCCTGCTAGAGGGTGGGCAGGGGGGTATTTGGAAGCAGCAAATTCTCCTTTATCTGCTTAGCTTTAGAAGAGGAGGGGGAGAAGGCAGCACATTGTGTAGAAGTGACACATCCTGACGATGAACTTAAAAGGAGCTTGCTTATGATGCAGCAGGAATTTGCTATAAGCTTGGGCAAGCTTAAGCTGAAACCTCAGCTTGAAGGCCAGCAGTAATGTAGTAATGTAGTGGCACTTGCAAAAGCCAGAGGCAGACTGAGGAGCTGCTATTTTTGCTGTACTTCTGCCTGGATTCTCATGGAAACCACACTTAGTTCAGCCTTGGCAATGCCTACGGTTCTGCTGATTGCTGGAGTTAGATTAGCCAGTGGAATCACTTGTCCAAGTGTAGATAAGGCTTGTAATGCCAGACAGCCACAAAATGGGACCCCAACTCAGTTTGTTTGGGGTGGTGCTTGCCAGCTCCACCGCTGAAACCTCAGGCAGTACAGTTCACTTGCCATCCCACTCCCACTCCCTGGTGTGGTGCCAGCCTGCAGACATTTACAGAGCACCAGCCTCTCCCTGCCACCACTGGGAGCCTCCAGGCACCTACCTGGGGATGAGGAGCTAAGGATGGCACAGAGCCACAACATGGGCAAAAATGTCCCCCCTGTCAGGACTGCAGCTCCACATGGTCTCTCAGATGACAGCACTCCCTGCTGCAGTGAAGTACAGCAGTAATTTCCACTGCATCTGATCTGGTGCTCCAGCTGCCAGGAAAAGGACAGTGTGCCTCCACAGCAAAACAGCAGTGGGAGGAATCAGAGTCCTTGTGTTAGTGCTCTCCTAATTAGCCTGGGTAAGAATAATGAGATGTATGTGATGGGCTTCTGTATGTGCTTTTGTAGCATTAGCAACCAGACTAGGGACATACAGGTCTCTGGAGAGTTTGTGCTTTGCTTGCAGCAGTGATAAAGCTCAGGCTGCTCTGTCTTGAGAGCTGCTGTGCCTCCTGCCTACTAGCTTCATCCAGAATGTGCTTACAGGTGTTTAAATTGGATGGCTTGTACTTCTAATTTGATGTATAAATGTGCTTTAAAAGACAAGAGAGAAACAGCTTCTCTATGAAAGCTCCAAAGCCCCTGTAGAAACCCTTGGGAAGGAGAGATAAGACCTTACTTCTGAGAAGAACAAATGTGCTTGCTTTGTCACACAGCTTCCAGTGCTTCTTTGGGCTAATTCCCAGAATACCTTAACAAACAGCAGTAAGTACTGCAAGGTCCTCTCTTCTGAAAGCACTTCCAGAAGTTCCATTGGAACATGGTTGGTTGGGATTTGCTTAACACAGGCTGCTGCTGCCCCTGTCAGCACAGCCACTCCTCAGGGAGGCTTTGGCAGAGACAATCACAGAGAAGGGCACAAACAGCACTGACACTTCAGTGCTGCAGTGCTGGGTGTGCTTTCAGCCTTGTACAGGGCAAGAGGACCAGAATTCACATCAGACCACAGCCACATCTTAGTGCCAGAGCTCAGTGCTAAATGGCTACCAGGCTGGCCCTTTCTGTGGCACTGCAGAGGAGACTATTGTTCTTCATCACTAGCTCTGATCTCCAGAAGCAGGAGAAGGAATCTGGTCTGCCATGTCCATGTGCAGTCCCAAGCATCCACACTCCTGCAGTCGTCTCTCAGGTTGAGCAGGATGATCAGTGACAAAAAAGGGGAACAAAAACTTCAGAATCTTTGATTCTGGATGGCTTCAGGTTTATGTGCTGCAAAAATGGGCAGGCTGGTATTAGTTCTTCCCTGTGCTTACATAAAGTTTGGAGTCATGGGCAGGATGCTTTTCTTGGCTGTAGCTGGTGTCTGATCTGTGCAATGCCACAGACAGCAGCTTTAATAAACCTCCAGGAATTTTAGTCTTTGGCCCTGCTGAGATTGCAAGTGGTTGGCAAGTAGTATGTGTTAGTTATATTCCCAGACATCTGTAGGCAAGGGACACGCAACATTTGGGAACGCTGAAAGGACGTGGTGGATTCTCTGTGTGGCTGTAGAAAGAGAAATTGCAGTTCTGCAGCAGTGTGAACACACCAAATTCATTATCATTCTCATATCATCCTTAACTTGACCTTCTTTTCCCTTGTCCAGTTTTACTTATTTACAGATAGTTGTAACTTGTGTATCAAGTTATCATAAAACCAGACAGTACAATTTCTGCATGAATACTTTAAAGTACCTGCAAATTCCCAGATCCTATTTATTGTTGCAGGACATGAGACCCCTCAGGGTAAGAGGGGCCAGAACAGCAGCCCCTTTCAGTGTCAGAATTAAGAAGAGTGGGAGAAGACATAAACTGAAATAGCAATTGGTGCTTGTGGTTTGGCAGGGCAGGTGGGTAATTAGCTCTTTGCATGTGTACATACAAAATGTGCATGTGCTCCTAATCAAGGTCTTAAGGCAGGAGTGGGATGCTATTTCAGGTTGTTTGTTTCATCTTACCTCATAATCCCTGTAAGCCTCATAGTGGGGACAGAGTGGGGCTGGGAACAGCTGCGGAGCAGGGGATTGAAGTATACTCAGAAGGCCTAAGTTCATTACTCTCTCAAAGCCCAAACATCACCAGTGCTCTGTAGATCTCTGCATGATCTCCTTGCATTCCCCTTTATGTTTATTCCCTTGCCCCCAAGAAGGCACTCCTCCCATTAAAACCCAGTTTGCAGTGGCAGTTCTTTGATCAAAGCTACAGCTGCCAGCCACCCACCGCTGAGTGACTGATCCCATCAGATCCCTTCATCCTTCAAGCCTGACCTGTTCCTACCCACTCCAGGTCTCCTTTCTTCCCATCATTCACAGCTGACTGTGGAGAGCCTTCTTGTCCCCTGTGGTATTTAGTATTCTTTCCTTGTTTCTGTCACCCTGGTCCACCTCTAGGAAAGCTAGGAGCTACCAGGACAGAAGTGTTAAACACAGCCTGTCTTCTGCACCCCTGCAGCAGTGCCAGCAGTGCACAGAGAAAACCTCCTGCAAAGCTGAGCACTGCGCAGAGATGCTCTGAGAACTCACAGGTGTTACAGCCTTCAATTTTGTTTTGATTCTTCTGACAGAAACTGCAGATACATCAGCACTCAGATGGATTCTCCCTGGAGCTGGTAGCTCTGGGTGCCACAGGGACATATCGCTGCTGTCCATGGGGTGATGGTCTGGTCCCCGTGCTGAGCCCATGCTGCCATGTCCCATCTCTCCATGTCAGGCACTGGCAGCTGCAGGCCATGTTTCAGCTGCTGCTGCAGCAGCCGTGCCTTTTGAGCTGCTGATGCTGCCATGTCTGCCTTGCCAGCCAGCTGCTGCACCAGGGTGCAGGGAGGGAGCAGGAGTCACCGGGCATGGTCCAGAAAGAGCAGTCTGTGAATGGGAAAGGAGCCAACTTTGGGGTAGTCATGGTGTGTGTCATGACCTCCAGGAGCCTGAGCTCCCCTGTGCTTGGGGTGAGTTTGGTGTGAAAGCAGCAGTCTATAGCTTCATGTCAACTGTCCATCTCCTTTTCTGCTGGGGGAACGGGCCCTTCCTTGGCTGAGACATGTGGAGAGCAGGCACGTGGCCCCGGGCAAGGTGGTATTTGCTGTGACATTAGGAACAGAGGTGTCTTGTGCTGGGAGCACAGCCATGCATCCCTCTCAGCATCTTGTTAACAGATGTCAGCTGTGGTGACAACGACAGTGGCAGGACTGAGCATGAATCCAAAATGTGCTTGACTTGTTTAACTCACAGGGAAGGGATCTGATTGCTGGGTGTTGCACAGCAGAGAGGGAGAGCGTGTCTTCAATGAGAGAGCAAAACCAGCCCCAGAGCTCAGGACAGAGACTGTGATTAAATTTGAGTCAAAAGTGAAGTAAAATAGAGCAATGGCATCATGAGACAGCCCAAGTGGCAGAGCACAGAGCAAATTACTTTTAAGATGGACTAGAGAAACAGAGTGGAAAAGCCTGGCATGGCTCCTGGGAGGAAGCCACAGCAGGGAGCAGCAAGTATATCCCCAGGACTCCCCTGTCCCAGCCTGCTGCATCATCCCCTGGGTACTCAGAGTATCCAGCTCTTCTAACTGTGGCATTTGCCATATCCTCAAGTAAAGACTTTTCTATTCCCATATTTTTATGACAGGAGGAGGCTGTTTATTTGGTATCCTCTGGTAAGATTTTAGCCATCTTTTTAATTTATTTCCTTTTCAGCAAGTAGAGGCAGCGCACTGAGAACAGATTTTTAATTGGCATTAACACTGCATTGAGAAGTGTTCCTGGGGGTGTTAATGATATGGAGAGTACTGTGCAGTGAAATTACAATTTGTAAAAAATAAGGAATTGTAATGAGTTAGAAAAAATATTTTGATCCACAATCTAATTTAAAAGGCATGCGACTATTTTGTATTATGAAAAATGAAGCATCAGCTTTAGCTAAAAAGCGAACAGTCCAGTGTAAAGATCAATGAAGTCCATCATTACTTGCTCAGAAAGCTCAGTAATCTCAGTCTTTACCAATATCAATGTTTCTTCTCACACTTAGCAGCAAGAAAGTTCCTGTCTTCCTTATAAGAAAATTCTAAGAAATGTAGGAAAGGAAGCTGTGAGATTTAAAGAACAAGCCCAGGTTCAAATGGGTTCACAAACTTTCAGTGTGTTGCTCTCCAGCCCTGTACCTCCTGAGGAGTGGTTTGCATTTGTGTACTGCTGGTGTGGGTGTTTCAGGGCAGGCACAGCCACAGCAGAGATCTTGTGCCTGCTGGTTGCTCTCAGGCTCGGGGAGAGCCCAGATGTGGTGTCCATCCTGTTTGTCCCTGGCACAGAGAGCACTGCTGAGCAGCTGCTGCAGACATCCACACGAGCTGGAAACAGGCAGCACAGTTTGCAAGCTGCACATTGTGGCAAGTGCAAGGGACAGGAAGAGGCAGGAGGAAGGGCAGAAAACAACTGAGAAGCAGAGACAACCAATGGCCAAAAAAAGACTGCAGAAAAGCACTATATTTATAGGGATATCAGGGAGATTATGACAATTGACACATTAAATCTCCAATTGGACCCAGCCATGATATTAAGACAAAGCTTTTGAAAAACAAGACTAAATGAGTCAGTGCTGGTGCTGCAATACCCTCCACAATTTTCAAATTTCTGTCTCTTACACAGACAGTTGTATCAGGAAGCAGGTGTCCTTTCAGGATACTGTTTTATATCAGTCCCAGTTAATTCCTCTCCTTTCATTTTCTTGTGTTTAGAGAGTTGTTACAGTCAGAGGTGTCTCGTCATACCATTGTCTTTCCTTAATAATTTTCAAGGATCACAGTTACAGATGTGTTGTTATTTTCCATTCTATTTTGTGGGAAAAGTAAAAGAAAAATGTGGGAAAATGTTTTGTAGTTTTGTGAACTGTTTTGCAAGTCTTGATTATTTGTTGGCTGGCTGAACCAGCTTGTAACAGGGTCTCTTGTTAGTGCTCTTGTGGGTGCATTGGTTTTTGCAATGGAACATTTTTCTGTACGAAGATGCCCAAATATTGCCCTGGTAATTATCATATGAGAGTTTGTTCCTAAGTGAGCACAGATTCCACATGGTTTGGTATAATCTCTTGCTATAACAAGAAGCCAGCCATGCTCTGGAAATATCACCACTGATGGCTGGATGCCCCACGTCCATTAAGGCCTCTGAGGAACTTCACATTTTGCATGCCAAGGAAGAGGCAAATGAGGTCCAAAAGGTTGCCTCACAAAAGTGAGGAAACCTTCAAGAAGCTGACTTGTGTGGTGTGGGCAAAGCTCTAGAATTAAACACAAGCTTACAGATCTGGTCAGTGACCTATGCTACTGAAGAGAGGAGATGAGGAAAATTTGTCACTTTTGAGTACTGAATTAAAAGCCTGCCAAGCTCAGGACCAGAGTAGTTCAAAATTGAGAGTCTTGGTGTTCTTCCTTAACTTTATTCTAACTTTCTTAGCAGGGATCCCTGGGTTGCATGCTGAGCAAAACTCACTAGTAACCAGTGAGCCACTTGGCTACAAGTGCAGAGGGCTTTGTCAGATGTAAAGTATAGTTTCTGTGCTTAACCTCTGCAACCTGGATATCTCAGGTAACTTACCCAAGGCACAGTGGATTGGAAGGAAACAACAGCAGTGATTTGTATTTCAAGCTCAATTAACTGGTGTTTGTAAACTGCTTGAAGTTGTTTGGATTGAGGTGTTAAAGCACAGTAGAATTACAGACATGTAAGTTTAAAAAATAATGCTAATAAACACTCTCACCATGCTTTGAAAATATGAGTGTTATAACTCCCCCAGGAATTATAATTTAAAATACACAAAGTCAGTTTAGTGGAAAAACTGGCACCAGCTTCTCAGTGTTTAAAAATAGAAATAACAATCTTTCTCCAGCTTCCGAAGGAAATACATTGATGAGTTTGAAAAGTTTAATAATTGGTATGAGCATGAGTGGGTGTGTCAAGTAAAGAATTTAATGAGAGAGAGCTAATGAGTGGGAGTGAAGTAGGAAAGAAGACTTTTGCATTGATTAACTCTGAAAGTGGGGAAGTATGAAAATGTCCTTGCACCTCCCAAGATTCAGAGCTCAGATCCAGTCCTGCAGGAGCTCTCCCCTGAAGGGAGATTGCCAGATTCTCTGAATGCTAGTTTGCAATTCTTCCTGCAAAGAAGAGGTCTGTGAGGGCCTTTTGGTACTGCTGAGTTTGTCACCCAGTTGTACAACTGCATCACTTGTGGCTCACCTGAGCTGAGAGCTGGTGAAGAGCTTGTCACCTAGATAAACCCTTGGATATGAACAGTATTGACCTGGATACAGCTCCACAGGAAAGGGCCTCAAGTGACAGAAACCAGCACTAATGAACTCAGTTTAACCAGCTGGCTAAAAAGCTCCCACCAGGACTATTGAACTGTCTGCTTATCCCTATTTCCCAGTAAGTGGATTTGATTGACAAAACCTTCTCCTGCTGCAGGGCAGCCAAGTTCCTTAGGAACAGACCAGTGAAATACTCACTGATTGAAATAACCACAGGGAAATGCTGTTGAATACCAATTTTTCAGGAACCCATGTGTACACTCTGAATGGAACTGATCCAGAAGGAGATCCCGTGACATATGATCTGACCTATGAAGCTGGATCAAGACGTTACTTTTCTGTTGACAAGAACCTTGGAAATGTTACTTTGATCGAGGAGCTTGACAGAGAGGTAAAATAAAATGGCACCACTCCAGGTGTTTGTGGAATTTCTTTCTGTGTAATTTGATCTGAGGTTTTGAGGGACAAGGCCAGTTTATTAGCCCCTGAAGCATTTAATATACTTTGCAATTCTAAGACATTATACTTCACCCTTCATGTTGCGTTCCAGCTGACTTGTGCCACTAACATTGCTGTCAGATTTTTTAGCTGCTGTCTGTCCAACTTTTTTTCAAAAAAGAAGTATGTTCTTTATTTCTGTCTTCCCCCACCGACACCCCACCCAGAGCTTAGGGGCAGCTAGAGTCATCAAATCCTCAGACAGGGGACTCTCCTGTCATTAGGAAGAAGTAAAGATTTATAAGCAATGTTTCAGGACACTTCTCTAGTATGTCACAGCCCTTTAGCCAATGTAACCGTGCTGGTTAAAGATGCCTAAAGGCAGCCTTATTCTTGGAACACAGGTTCAATAACCCTTCATATCTCCTCACTGAGAATCTTATGCAATATTTGGTAAACCCTTTAAAGTTCCATATAGAACTTCTAAGACAGAAGAATTTTGAACCAAATTTTAGAGAACATTTTTTGAAAAAGGAGACTGATTTTTATGAGCACTTTAAGAATCAACAGGGATTACCAGAGCAACCTGACAGTAGCTACAGAAGGTTCAAGGAGCTGGAGCATCCAAGGGGTCTTCCTGGCCTCTGCTGGGATTGCTTTGTGGTATTATTATCTGCCTGCCTAGACAGGTTTAAATCTGCAGTCCCTTTTCCAATCAGGACAAACACCATCTCTCTAACAAAAGAATTTTCTTCATTTACAGAAGGAAGATGAGATTGAAGTTATTGTCAGTATTTCAGATGGTCTGAGTACAGTAAGTATTTAATTATGCTGTAGCTTGTCAACATGTCTGTTCTCACATACCTACTCCTATTAAATTACCTTAAAGGGACTATCTCATTTGATCAGAAAACATAATCTCATTAGTCTTACCTCCTGTTCCAAAAGCCACTGAACTCACAGTTCATCAAGTCTCACTTCATCTCCTTGCTCAGCTATTTGAGGATAATTACAGTGTAGTGTGAGCTGAAATACTGACTTAGCAGCCTCCCATGAAGTTTCACTGCCAGCACAGTCGGATTTGTGCCTAAGATCTGGAGGCTTTTTGGAGAAATGTGTGACATTATAGGAACTACTGTTGGGCACCCAAGAGCTGCCTGTCCCCACCCCCACAGTGTTTCTCCAGCATGATGTTAAGAAGATTTGCTTAGGCTAAGGTGGTGGGGGTTTTCTTGTCTGCTGCTAGATAAAGCTTTGTTCATGTCTAATCATTAAGGACTAATCTGAGGCACTGGGCATCCAGTCCTACTTCCACAGATTTTCTTGGTATTTTCAATTTATGGATGCTGTCACAGCCAGGATAGCAGTCTGGCAGCAGGAGGATGTGGGCTTCATCACTAGAGGTACCACAAAAGTGGGACCCTCTTCTTATCCAAGAGACTGGATAAATTTAGAGCTCTTCCTCATCTCCAAGAAACTGAGATTATTACAAGAAGTGTTTGGGAGGTTTCAGCATCCTACAGGTACCACTGCCCAGGAAACCTCTGTAAATAGGAAATAATGGGATTCATAAATAATGGGAGTCATAATATGCTCTTCATATTCTACTTCAGGTTTCTGAAAAAGTCAGGATCCTTGTAATGGATGCCAATGATGAGAGCCCAGAGTTCATCAATACACCTTACATAGTCGAAGTCCCAGAGGTTGGTGAAGTTCCTTTGCATACTGGAAATATACTTCTATAGGATGCAAACAGGGGCTAATACGTTTTCAATAAAATAACAAGCTGTGCAGGACAGACTTGCATACTTTTGGTTTAGGGTTTGGGTAGGTATTTAATATTCACTGCAAATTTGGGTGTAGGTATGTAAGGTATGCTATTTTTGGTGTATGTTAAGTTCCAACATGTGAGTCAGTGTGAACTTTTAGAATTGACTACAGTGGGAATAGGATATGCCCAGTCTCAGCTAAAATGTTCTGTTATTTTTATTTCACAAAGTGTTTCTTTCTTCTTGTTTTCCAGTTTTAACCTCTTCCCTCTTTCCCTTCTGCTCTTTGGTTCCCTCAGTGCTTTTACATTCTTTCTACCATTTATCTTTTTCTGCCTACCTGCATGCTCATTTTTCATTTCTTTTAACTCACCTGGTTTTCTGCTTCTGTGTGACTGCTAACTCTTTCTGGTCACAGAACACTCCCTCCAGCAGCAGCATCTTTAAGATTGAGGCAATAGACAAAGACACGGGTTCTGGAGGAAGTATCACCTACTTCTTGCAGGTAAAGTATTGTCTGTACCTTCACAAATCATCTCTCATTTACTGAGATTTCAGAAAGCAGATTTTAAAAAGATTGTGGGGGTTGAGTGCGCTCATAATGCCTATAGGACCAATTTTGTACCATGCATGAGAAAATAATCATTGGCAGAAGGGATGTTGTGTGATTGCAAGAAGCCAAGGGTGGTCCAGCAGGCAGTAAGGGGAGCTGGAGTTGCCACTGGCACTCTGGTGCTTGCCAGCAGGACCCCTCCTGGCAGGGCTCTTACTGGCCCTTCCTTTGGAGTGACAGGGAGAAGGAGATTAACTGGTAATCTTGTATGCTTATGGGATTTCTAAAGCATGAAATAGCTTTCTTTAGGGAGCAAAACACACTGGAAACATAAATGCGCCCTTTAGTGTAGCAGGCTGGTGCATAATTGATATCTGGATCAGAGTGTGAGAGGTACTAAATCTTCTCCCTGACAAAGCAGTGACTGCCTGAAACCACCCTTTCAGTTGCTGCCCACTGGTGAAGAACTGAAAGTGCTCCAGGATTAAAGCTGAACTTCTGTATGACAGGTCTTCTTTATGCCACATTTCTTTTTCATTATGTCCTTCAATTTCCTTCTTCCTACAGGCAGTTTCATCCAGGTTATCTGCAGTTCCCCTTATTCAAGAGGAAACATGAAAAAAACAAACAAAAAAACAAAGCAAATTTGTTGCAATATTTAATTTTGGATACGAATATGGAGACAAGTTTGAAGATATTTACATAGCACTAAAGTTAATCCTGTTAAGAGCTTGGGCATACCATGAAAGAACACCTTGAGAGCCTTGTTGAAATTTAGCTTTGATTTCACAAATTATAATCCATGTGCAAGATTCAGTTTTGCACAGGGCTTTAGCTGATAGTCTATGGACCAAGGGACAGCAATTTCAAAATTCTATGTCTAGTTTAGAATATATTTGTGTGGCAAAAAGAATGATAAATATGTGTATTTGTTGAAAAAATCTTGCCATGTCTTTGGGCACAGTCTCTGAGAATTCTCAAGTTGCACAGAAAAAACCTCTCCATGGTATGGTATAGGCAGGTGATGACATCTGCTGAAATGGCCAGGATTATCTGACAGTGGCCATTGTGTCTGGGTACAGGAACAGAGGTGTTTGTACAGATAACTCCACTTCAGAAGAATGGAGGGAGGCATTTTTTAGGCTTTTTTTAAAATCAGGTGTTCTTTAGATTTTGTTTGTACATCACAAAAATCACCAGACCACCACTGTGTTTGATAATAATCTATACATGCAAGCTTCCTGCATTTTTTTTAAACCAGTAGAACTTTGAAACACTAAGGGGTAACACCATTTCTTTTTTTCTTCCTTTTCCCTTCATCTTTTTTTCTGTTAAGTCTCCCTACCTCTTTCCATGCAATTAACTGAGACAGCCAAAGTTTAAGTTTTCACAATGATATACTAAAAGATTAAAAATACCTACATTACAAGTAACTGATTTATTCTGAATAATGAGAGACTTGTGGTTGCTTCATGAATTGTTCATAAACACACAGAGGTGAAATTCATCAAATACATTATTCACCCAAACCGTATCATTATTCCAGTCTTCTCCCCGAGCAGATGAAATAAAAGATGAATCCCTATGGCAGTCCTATCTCCCCACATGTAATCTCTGTCTGTTTCTTCTTTTCTTTTCTTTTCTTTTAGAACATCCATGCTAATAAGTTTACAATAGACCGTCACAGTGGTGTCCTGCGCATCAAACCAGGGGTCACCCTGGACTACGAGAAATCAAGAACACATTTTGTCGTCGTCGTAGCCAAGGTAAAAAGGCTTTTATGAGGAGGTGGGGTGTTGTGTTTGAGTGGGACCAATTAGTTTGAATACAAGTGCTGCTGCAGCATGAAGGCAGCAGAGTAACTCCTGCTGTAAGCTCTGGAGGCGTGGAGTGTAACATGGAAAGGTAAAGGAGGAAAGGTGGCAGGTGTCTGCAGCTGAACAACATCTGGAACATTTGGGGGGGGGTTTCCCATATTTTGCTCATGTCCTCTGTGTCATGAGACTCACCTGGAAGTGAAGGGTTGGTGTTTCTAGCCCTGGCTTCAAGAAGCATCAGCCTGTGAGCTCAGGGCTCCTCATGCTGCCCAGGGCACAGCCCTACTGCCACAAGGACAAACCCCTGGCAGGCAGACGGGCCCCAGTCATTACCCACAGTAAGACACAGGACACAGCTAAACCCAGCACAGCACAAGAGATGGATTTCTTTCCTGGAAATACCTGTGGACATTTCTTTTCTCCACTTCTCTGCTGCCTCATGGCAGGAGCTTATTTAATTCATGCAAATATTGCTGCACATCCCTTCTTGCCACTGTCTTTCCCAGCAGTACTGTGCCTGTGACTTGGCTGAGGATTCATAACAGGCATTAAAAGTCCAAGATTTTGAAGTGTCTCACAATCCTGTCACACAGACAGACTCACTTGGGTGGAGAGAGGGCAGTTTTGGTGTAGTTCATGAGGACTTTGAGTTGCTCAAATTTTTTGAAAAATGTATGGACCTTTTAATGTATTTTTAGCCAAGGTTCATTTAAAGAGAAGTAGCAGAATTTGGCTTAAATTCTGCCTTTGGGACAGTAAGTAAGAAAAAAAAAAAAACCAGTGTATCTTTTCAAAAAAATTGGCATTTTTAAAATTGGTACTGCAGACATGTTGAACAATTTGCACTCTTAGACACCAGCATGACTACTGACCTACAGCTGGTGCTCTGAGACTGAGGGTGTTAAAACCTTCTGAAATAGTGAGTTGTATTCCTAATTGGCTCTGCTGCATCAGTTGTGGAGACCTGGTTGTAGCCAAGTCCCCAGAGACTGTTTATACAGTGTGGCTGTCTTGCAGGTTTTGGCTGCACAGCTCCTTCTGTGCTTGCACTTTATCACAGAGGTGTTCCTAGGTGACTTTGAGCATGTACAGTGTTTATTTCCCTCTAGAAAAGCACTACCTTGCTACAGTGCACTGTCTTGTGTTCATGACAAGACTCTGTGTGGGATTAAAAGCTGTACACCTTGATCACTAACTTTTTGTATAATATTCTAGCCTTTTTTCCTGAAAAACCCTTGAATTCCCTGTCCCCTCTCTAAAGATCATTTATGACTGCATATATTGGTTCAATCACTTTTAATATAAGAAATTACTTATGAGGCACTGCAAGCTGTCTTCCTAATCAGAGAGAGTGCAGGAAAAATGGAAAAGTGAAGGGAATAGGGCAGCACAGATTAATCAATATGCTCAGAGAGAGAAGGGATTCCTGGACCTGTGCTTCTGAAGGCTCATGAGGTCCATGCAATGCCTAAGCTGATTTTCAGGCATGCTTCAGCAGAGGCATCTGACCATTACTTCTTTTCTAGGATGGAGGTGGGAAGCTCAGGGGAGACAACAAAGTATTTTCAGCCACAACAACAGTTACTATCAATGTGGAGGATGTTCAGGACACTCCTCCTATGTTCATCGGGACTCCCTACTATGGATATGTCTATGAGGACACGCTCGCAGTAAGTTCTCGTTTTCATCTCTGGGAGAACAAGTGCAGCCTTTCCCATCTCAGTCAAGACAGCCCTAAGGTTTCATCTCTGGGAGAACAAGGAGAACAAGTGCAGCCTTTCCCATCCCGATCAAGACAGCCCTAAGGTTTCTAGTACAGGCTTTACTGGAAATAGGACCTGAACTCTGATTTGACTCCTAGGTGAAATGAGCTGAACGAATCTCAGACTATTTCTTACTCATGTCAACTGCAAATTTTCTATTCAGGGCCTCCTGTTGTTTTCACTGAAGTCAAAAAAGATTCTGCCCATTTATACTGGTCTAAGCCCAGAGAGTGACTAAGAGATCTTCTGCAGCTCAGACCTCCAGAGGCACTTGGCTGAAGGCTTAAGCAGGCTGCCACTCACCTCACCTGAACACATCATGCTTAAAAGCCTTTGTGTGTCTCTTTGCTCTGTGGGCTCACAGTGCTTTTATTCTCTAGCTCAGATCAGTCTGCTACTGACAGCTGGTTGTTCAAGGTGCAGACAGAATTTATGCCCGAGTATGCCCTCCCTCTGTGTCATCCCATGGGCATCACCTGGGGAGAAGCAACCCTGACATCCCCAAAATGCAGGATGCTTTCTGCTCAGTGATGGCTGGTTAGGCAGAATGGGCCAGGAAGGCCTCCTAGGCCTAAACTCAATCAGATTATCAGCCAAACAGGGACATAATTAGGAGGACCAGTCATTTCCAGCCACATATTCTTGAAGCTGCAAACTAATGAGCTCTCTCTAAGCACTGACATGATTGTGTGGATCAGCTTTCACCCTGATACAAAAGATTTAATTAAAATGTTGTTCATATATTGGACAAAAAATGGTATCTGCCTATGAAATTACCCAAAATTAGGCTATTGATGAATTTAGCGGTGTGATTGCACTCTGTTCATCTGACCTTCCCTAGAGTTCCATGAAAGAGTGTGTCTTTTCTGTCCAGAAATGTACACTGCAGCCCATGCATGACTATATATTGCAGTTCACTGCAGAGGTTGTTACATTTCAGCAGGGCAGAGAAGTAATACTCATGTACTTTGCAGGTGTTTAGAATGAATTATATTATGTATATTGATTTATTCTGCATAGTTACATATAGATCTTGAAATAACAATCAGGTGCAAACGGGAGTTAGTGTTTACTATGGAAATGAGAATCAATAAATGTTAATTACATCCAGCTTGAGCTCATAACTTACACCATTATGATATAATGATGGAAGCAGGAATCAGTCCTTCCCAGTATGGGTTTTGCCATTAGAATGAACTCCACAGAGGAAGAGGCAATAGCTGATTTTAGTGGTGTTTGCGCATTTGGTGTTAATTTTGTAAACTTGCTTCTTTTTTCCTTGGTGGAGTTGTCAGGATTTACAAGTACTCTGTCACCTTCAAAGGGACTGCACTGCATTTTGCCCAGTAGGCAGATTTTATTGCTGCTTCCAGCATAAATGATAATAAATACAGTTCTGTATTTCCAGTTGCTCTAACAGAGCCTTGCTCTTGTTTGAAAAATTCACTCAAGGGTTGTCATGAAAATGTTCCTTGTTGCCATTTCTGATTCACTGGCAGTTACTTCAGTGTTCCCTGGTTCTTCAGCCTCAAACAGTAACACTTGAGTTCAGAGGCCTGACTTGCACAGCTCACTGCCACTTGGGTGAGCATTTTAATGTGACACTCATCATCCCTCTGAGCTGATAGGAGCAGTCACATGAGCAAATGGTCCCCAGCACACAAATTCTCTATGTATGGCCCACGGCCACATTACTTGTGCAGAAAGACAGACAGTGAAGGTTTAAGAGCAGTTAAATCACCATCATTTTCATCACAATTTTATGCCCCAGATATTCTGTGGGCAAAGTTGCTCTGTCATCTCTGTTTGCTTCTACTGCCTGTCTGAACTTAATTAGGAAGGACCAAAGTGACCCAGTGACTCCCTGGCAGCTGCCTGTGTCTCAGCACACACTGTGTGGCCATGGGGCACAGGAGCCTACACAGAAGCGGCCAGATGGAATCTTGGTAGTGCCCCAAACTAAACTTTGGGTTTCAGATTAGCTGCTCCAAATCCTGTCCCCTGTGCTGTCCACATCTGTGGCTCCAGGCAGGTGTCCTTGGCCACAACTTCCAGCCATTCCTGTGACCAGCCAGCCCCCAGGGCTGAGGCACCCATGGCCATGCAGAGCCTGCAGCCATTTCACAGAGCAGTGGGCACTGGCCCTTTATGTGTTCTCCATATGGCACAAGCACCCACTCTGCCCCCGCACTTCACTGCAGGAAAACCTACAGGAGTTCAGTTTATTAATGTGCTGTTGCAATTTCACTGCTCTGATCTTGGCACACAGACTGTGATTTCCCATTTCTCCCCAGGGCTCTGAGGTCCTTACTGTTGTTGCTCTGGATGGAGACAGAGGAAAGCCTAACAGTATTCATTACTGCATCGTGAATGGTGAGTAGGCTTGTCTTATGGGAAATTTGAAGGGCACTCAAAACTACATCTGGCATTAAATTAGAACAGAATATGCTGGAGTTTAATAAACCTGAGACAAAATCTCAGGAAATAATGTCAGGTACCTCAAACAACTTCAGGGCCCTGTCTAGCAGAGAATAACCAAGATTCAATTCAGTGAGTCTTAGTATCTTCTTCACAGAACTGCGCTTGGAGCTGTTAATGTTGCTGATTTGTTAGGCATCAGTGCCTGCTTGTCATTTCAGAAAGTGTAAAGGGAGATGCATTCCCTCTTCTGAGCATCTCTATCCCTTAATCTGGGAGGTGAGATAATTCATTAGGAGACCCAGACGTGGCATTTGGAGGGATATTGTTATTAATACAGTGATGAAAGTGGCTAAACAGTCAAACCTCTGATTTCTTGGAGGAAATTATATTTACCAGTGAAGAAACATTGGCTGTACACTGAAGTGGAAGAAAACAGATGTTATCAGAAGATTAATGCTTTCCATCAGCTATTCTGGGAGTGTCTGTCGCATGTCTTTTAATAGCATGAATGTGAAACTTAGCTGAATTGATGATTCATTAGGTGGTGAAGAAAACAGCTTAGAGCAACTAAACTCCAGGCTACGGCTTTGGGGGTTTTGGGTTTTCTTTTTTTTCTTCTGTAGCAACAGGGCACCCCAGCTCATAGGTGTGAAAGATCCCAAAACTTCCTAAGAGAAATCTGAGGTGTAGCTGAAGAGCTATGGAGTAAGTGCTTCATTGTCTTAAGTGATCTAAACATCCAGGACAGAGAGATACTCACATATGAGATTTTGTCTTGGTATGGGATGAGACTGATGCTGAGGTTTCTTCTTAATGTGAGGGAATAAATAGGTAAAAGAAAGGTAGAAGCATTGAGGGAAAAAAGGTTGCAAAAGACAATAGATAGAAAATGAGAAAAGGTAAAAAGAAAGGTGTAAAATGAGGAGCAAGAACAAGTAAGTGGGATGAAAATATGCTAAACAGTGGAGAAATTAAGTAAAGAAAACAAGTAAAGGCAGAAGAACCATGGAAAGTGTCAAAGGGAAATAAGATTAATGAGGAAAAATACTGGATCTCCAAAGAAAATGGAGAAGGACCGAAAGGGTTCTCTGGGATAAAAAAAGGTAAGTGTTTAGAGAAGAGTGGGAAAGGAAGATGGAAGTGGATGACAGATAACTAGAACAAAATATGACTTAATGCGGAGCCCATTTCTCGTGCCCATTAACAAAGGGTTTTGTTTGTGTGAAATGGAAAAGAGAGGAAGGGATTATGCTTTTAGTGCATAGCAAGTTGAAAAACAGAGAACAAAAGATTGCAACAGGTTTCTGCCCCTGCACCTCAAACAATGGCATTATTTTGACAAGCCATTATTCCAATAACTGCAGGCTGGGATGTCAAAGGACAAGAAAACACTAACAGAAAATAGGAAATTGTTTGTTCTTAATAAGCATTTCTTATTCCAGGAGTGTGGAATAATAATGGGAAATGCTGCAATCTTCTGAATGCGCTGCAGGGAGGAACACACATACTGCTACATGTACTCCAGGGTTACCAATTTCCCCAGGATAACTAGACAATAACATGAAGTATGGTGGCTTGAAACTACTATTGACTTCAGCTTCTTCTCAGCCAGAATATATTTTGCAGGCCAATGTATCTTAATAATTGGGTATTGTGAGTCAATATCTGTTCAATGTTGTGTCTCAAGTGCTTTAATGAAGTTGCAGTTATTGTAGGTATTAGCAAAACAGGATACTATCAGATGGTTTAAAAATCAGCATTGGAAATGAGTTTGAGAAGAAGAAAAATTACTGTGCTTTCAGGTCATCATCCTTTATTTCTGAAGGCATGATCTCCTACATTTAAAGGGGTTTCCTCTCTTCCTTTCAATGGTAGACTGCCACAAAGCAGAGGATGTGGCCAATACTGTACACGAGGCAGCATCAGGGCTGCCCATCCTGGGCACCAGCCTGCCCTTGGCTGTGATATGAGATGGTTCCTGACATCCTGGTGAGACACTTCTGCCTCTCTGCAAGCTGGCATTTGCTTCAGCACAAATATACCAATCTCAATAAACTTCTGCCTGGAACTGCTATTCTCTCCAGGTCAATGGAAGCTGGGCAGCAGCAGCAAAGTCAGCCTGCAGCCCTGTCCTGCCTCAGTTCAGAAACCTTGGGGTTAACCCCAGATACTCCAAAAAGCCCTGTTTGTTCTAGACAGCCTTGCAACAGGCTGGAAGCTTTTTTTGACAACTCAGTGTTTAAGACCAGAAGATATTTCTCCAGAAATGCTGTCTGAGGGAAGTGACAAAGTGTTTCCTTGAGGCAGATTGTCAGACTTCTCACCTTAGCTGATATTAGTGAGAAAAATGTTCTTGTTTCTCAGAGACTTAATTAAGCATTTGCTAATTACAATGACAAATGTCTATTTTTGTCTAAACCAGCATATAAAGACAGCATAATAAAAACTAATACCAAATAAGCATGCCTGGATGCTGAGGCTTGAGGGGAGCCCAAGCAGGGTGGGAAGAGGAAAATGCTGACAGTTGCCCACAAGGGAAGAACTCCACTGAGCCTTTCTTTGGAGACAAAACCCTTCTTGACCCTCATTTGTGTTTTCATCTCACTGTGCCCAGTCGCAGAAATGCTTCCTCTTTGAAGAGTGGCTTCAGATCTGTGGATAAATGTGGATACACATATGGACAAAGATGTGCTCAATGAAGTGTATAGTTGATTTGCCCATGCTTGCTCAAAGGAGGAAAGTGTGGCATATAACCAGAGCATCTTGGTTTCATTGCAGGAAGTGAAGGGTCATTTGAAATCAGCAACACAACTGGAGCCATTTCTGTGATAAAAAGCCCAAATCAGCTCAAGAAAGAAGTTTATGAACTAAAAGTTAAGGTAGGTACTGTGGCCACTTTAAGACTATTGGTCTCAAATGCCATGAGTTGGCTTGATTATCTAAAATTGTTCAATTTATATCTGACTTTACCTGTTTCAGAAACTACCTCCTATGTTTGAGCAGAGTTCCAGATAGTATAAAGCAGAACTAATTGCTTTTGCGGGGATGTTGGGATATTATTTTTGGCATATTTAGTATCTCAAATTACTTCTTTCAAATGAAATCATCTTGTCCAAATTTTTGTCTCTGAGACTAGAGAATCAATGTTCTTTACAGTCCATAGATACCTGTTGTCTGTGTTTCCAGATTTTATTGCTAAACTGGGAATTAATGTCTTGAAACCTCCACGTTATGAGATAGTTAGTAATAGGACTGGAACAGATCATGCAGGGTCATGTCAGCATCCACTGCTGAGGCACCCATCAGCCACATACAAATACATGCTCACACCTTGATGAGCTAACATCTCGATGAGCCAGTACTCATGTGACAGGCTGCGTTATTTTAAGCAGTTTCTAAAGAAAAAGTGTTTAAAAATGTGGAATTAAGTTGTGAAGACTATCGGTTTTCTTCAGCATGTTGAAACTGCTTATTATTGTTGTGGTAAGGACAATACTGGCTTATAGGCAGCTTTGAGGAATTGCACACTGCCAGAACAAGTGTGTAGCATCCCCAAGGGCCCTTGCTTGCTCCTGGGCTCCAGCAGTGAGCTGTACCTGGGAGAATGTGGAGTCCTCATGGGCTGAGTTAACCTCAGGCACCATCTCTTCCTCTATCTGCTCTGCTTCACTGCAGTCTGCCACCACTCCCCCATGCAGAATGGGTTAGAGCCTTGCAAGCTTTTCTGATCTCCTAATTATGTATGTGGTGACCCAGAGTTCATGCAGGCTGCAAAAGCTGCTAGAGGAACCAAGAGGGTGTTATATTACCCAGAGGACATAATGGCAGGCACCTCAGTTGCCAGACTAGTGTCTTCAGAGAAAGTGCCTTTGGTTTTGAGCCCTTTGAGCAAAAAGGCATGTTAGATATAGCTGTTGTGACAAAAATACCAGCCAGTTTCTGTCCTGGCAGAAGAAGTGCCTCAGGTTCAATCCAGTGAATCCAGGCTGCAAGTTGCAGTTGTTGAAACCCAGACAGATTTGATCTTGTGGTTCAGAAAAATACCAGCTAGGTTTGCCTGTCTGTCTAAACTATATCCACTTTAAATTAGGCTCATCTAAAGAGCACAGCAGAATTCTGAATCAGAGACTAAATCTCAAAAAAAAAAAAAAAAAGCACCTTTTCAAATATTTACCTAAATGCCTCAAGTACAGTTTTTCTCAAAGTATTAAAGGCTGCAGTCCTTGCAGCACTGAGACAATGAACTGCCTGTGGTACCACAGCAAATTTAAACATTGTCTTCCTTTTCTATTCTATCAACACTCTAGGCAAGCAATTACCTTACCTCTATTGGATTGTTTTTAGAGAACTGTTTTCACTTAGAGTGAGTTACTAAGATCACAAAATTAGAGGAAGAATCAACTGGGGCTCTACTGGGACTGGTTTATTACCATAATCTTCTAATCATCATAAACTTCAGTGTGAAATGGACTGAGGTTTTAGAGAAATATAAGGCTGTGAATCTTCCTACAAGTTAGAGTGCTTTGTACATGTGGAATAATATCTGAACATGAACCTGAAGAAGGAGAAAACAGTTTCATCATTCTTTTCTTCCTCTTGCCTGCTGCAGGCATCAGAAGTCAGTCAGGAAGGTGACACCTCAGAGCACACGTTTGCCATGGTGACCATACGGGTGGTCGACCTCAACAACCATCCACCAACGTTCTATGGAGAAAATGGTCCCCAGAACAGGTTTGAACTGACCATGTACGAGCATCCCCCAGAGGGTGAGATCTTAAGGGGATTGAAGATCACAGTCAATGACTCAGATCAGGTAAATGGAAACTATGTGGACTTTCAGTTTTCCTGTCCTGTTTTTGTAAAGACTAGAAAGAGCTGTCAGATGGGGAAATGTCATTTTAGAAACTCACCTGTTTCACCTGCATTCCCTAAAAGCCTAGGACAGACAAAGCAGTTGTAGGGTCCAGTACCACAGAAAGCCTGGACCCAGGAGTTCAGTTAGTCTGTCACACAGAGTTATGCCAATGGGAAGGGTGGTCCTGCACCTGCAGGTCTTGTGGCAACTGAAGCTGAACTGTCCTTATGAACTTCCCTAACTACTGGTTGTGTTCTTTTGTTGCCTGTGTATTGTCTGAGAACATATTCCCTTTGAAGATTTTCTTGGAGGTTCCAAGCCCTTTATTAACTTCAGGTTTAATTAGAGTCTTCATCTTCTTCTGGTCCTTATGTTACAGCCAGGGTCTGCAGTGCATGGTCTGATAAGTCATTCCCACTGGAGTGATATTTTTAGGTAGTTTTAAAAATTATGCCTGAGCCAAACTAACACCTAACAGATAAAGGCAAAGGAAAGAAGACTCCATCCATCTCAGCCCGCTGTCTAACTGACCTGTGATGCCTGTAGGTGCCATGGCAATGGTTGCTATAGGGACCCCTAAGCTAAATACTGTATGAATGACATCCATCTGAGTTAGCCTCTGGTTAGGTAGTGACAAGAAAAAAGCTTAATGCATCTGAGAATTGTATTACTATTGGAAAAAGCTCTCTTCTGTAACTGTGCTTAGTATTGTGCTGGTTTGATGGTCTTGTACTTTATCAAACCCACTGGCTTCTTCCCCCTCCCTCCTGCTGCTCTGCAGCGAGCAGATAAATGACTGCTTTCAAAGCAGTGCTACGTCTACCCTGCTATTGTCACGGGGGATGGTGCTGCAGAAGGGGAGAAACAAAACCCATCTCTTCTCTTTAGAGACAAAATATATATCTAGGCTGACAAAATATTCAGGCTGCAAGTTAGGCTATAAAATAAGCAGAAAACACTGATAAATACACTGTATAGATTTCTCAAGAAGCTTCCTAGTGCAGTGTAAGGCATCACTCTAGGGGGGATGGGTTGCTTTTCTTCTAAGGCAGAGAATGCAGTGTTTTCCCTTCTATCCAAGATGATCAGTAGAGAAGAAAATTAAACATGTGTCTGTCTGTCACAGCTACTAGAGACTTTTCTTTTGGGGGAGTGAATGATACAAGTGAGGAGGAAGCTGTGGTTAAGGTCTAGTTTAGGCCTACAGTTTGATGGAAATGCCATGCTTACTTGTAAGAAAATTATACAGAAATTTCTCTCCCAGACCTGTTCAACAGGGCTTAGGGCTCAGTGCTGCTGTTCCTCCAGTCATTGCTGTGTCCCATGGCTGTCTGCTTGAAGACATGCTGCAGCCTGGCTTGCTCAGAGCAGATCTGGGTTCAGTGGACATCTGTGTCAGAAATCACTCAGCTGTTGCAGTGGCAGTTCTCTCCCTATCCCATACCACCCTGCTAGTCCCATGTGCCACAGACTTGGTGTGACTTTGTCTGACTTTGTATTGCCAAACTGTCCACTCTTCCCATCAGCACTATTTTCCATAGTCCAGCAGCTCTGGCTTTGTGTGTTTGGCTTTACCATCCAGCAAAAGAGAGCCTATTATCACCTCTGTAGTTGGGGGATGGGTTTGTGTAACCAAACAACTCAGACCACTGAGTTTGGATCCAAGGTCATTCTGTTTCCCTTAAGAAACTACTGCTGAATACTTTTTCTCTTGACATGAGCTAGGGCTGCTCAAGAACTACTCATAACAAGCTCTCCAGGGATACAGCTGAAAGTAAAGTTGTCCTGTTTGAAAGTTATTATTAGAAATTCATCATCTCAAGATTCATGCTACAGGGAGAACGTGGCACCAGGCAGGCAGTGAATCTGACTGTTTGTCGCAGTGTAGACATGACACTGAGAAATTGGTGAACCCAGAGAGTTTGGTGAGATAGGCTCAGCTCATTTTCACATCTTCCCTGTAAGGCAGAAATATGAGAATCTCCCCTTCATCTTTTCTCTCGCATGCTCCAGTTTGATTTAAAAGAACCGGCCTGGCCAGCTGGCTCTGGCTCACTCCTCCCAACTTGCACACAAGTGGTGATAACCTTTTAGATACTGCTGCTTCTCATGTTCTCTCTGGCTAGAAGGTTTATCTGTGTAATGGGATTTGCCTTCTCATTTCACCTGGAGCTGTCAAGTGTGTCAGATTTTGTTCTGCACAAGTGGAGCCCCTCTCTCCCCACAAGCACACCAACTTCCAAAAGGTTTGGTATTTGCATCTCTGGGCTACCTTAATCCAATCAATGCAAAATGTGGAGTACCACCTCTGTTTGGAGATTGCCTATTTTGTGATTCTGCATCTTCATCATTCAGAATGCATGAAGAACAACTCACACAGCATGTGCATTAGCAGGACACAGGCTGGACACTGCAAGTGTTCAAGGCAGGCTGGATGGGGCTCTGAGAAACCTGGTCTCGTAGAAGATGTCCCTGCCTGTGGTGATCTCAAATGTCCCTTCCAACACAAACCATTCTGTGAGATTGGGCTTGTGAGGGTTGTGTTTTCCTTACTAGAGAATTTCAGTTGTCTTTCCTTGGTAGGAAGCTGGAAGAGGCAGGACTTCCCTGCCAATATGCATGTGGTGTCATCTCTGTCTAGCTCCCAGTGTGTGGCACGAAACCCAAGGCTGCTTGCCACAAGATTCCTCTTTTAGCCAGGCCTGCTGTGGGGTTTTTCCATTATGACTGAAAGAATAACCAAGCTTGTCAATCTATTTTAAGAAAAGCTGTGTCTGTCTTGTGACTAGGGCTGGAGGGATTATACAACTAATAAGCCTCTTAGTGGTCTCCTGCCCAGGGGATGGAGAGCAGAGGTCTCTAAGCAGTAAGATTCGTTCTCATTTTACATAGTTTGAAGAAAGAGAGCAATCTAGGCTGTAAGATTTGTGCCATTCACTGGAAAGAATCAATGTCATATCTGCTTTAATTCACAGGGAGCCAATGCTAAATTCAACCTCCGTCTTATTGGACCTGGTGGCATATTCCGAGTGGTTCCTCAGACTGTCCTCAATGAGGCTCAGGTTACAATAATAGTGGAAAATTCTGCTGCTATTGACTATGAAAGCTTCAAGGTGTTAACCTTCAAGGTACTTCTGCTTTCCAGGTCCTCTTTTTCGGTGTATATACTATGAGTATGATGGCTTTTGTATTTGACGTGATTTAGCTTCTTAATCCCCTGAAGCTGTCTGATGCATATCAGTGACATGATATTCCATGTGAGGGAAACTCATTTCTGCCTCTAGTTCCCCACCTTCACAAAGTTTAATGGATACATCTGTGGACTGATTTAATCCAGTCAGTACAAAATGTTGATTTTTATCTGCCTCTGGAAACTGTACATGTTGGTGGCTCTGAATCATTCTAGACTGAACCTTGAGGGTGTTATTTCTGCACTCACAATGGTACAGTCACAGGATGAAATCCTAATTTCTCTGCAGCTAGAACTTTACCTGCTTAGTGCTAAGTAATTTGATTCATGATCATGCTTTTGGATGTTGGCAGCCTGAAGACCCCAGCTGACTGGAAGATAATTCCCAAAATTGCTCACTGCCTTTGTCAGAGTCTATCTATCTCTATGGCCATTTGCAGGCTGACCTGAGGCTCACCCATGCTCTAAGCCAGCCACGCAAGAACCAGTTTCATCCAAAAGCTGGAATCGTGCATTATCACCTTCCCTGATGGATTCTTTGGCTCACCAACAAGATAATTAAGTTGTCAGGTTTTCTGTCAGCTGCCCCTGAACATGAGTGTAGATGTTTCAGTTCTGACTACAAAGAATTGCACAGACAATCCCTGTAATCATTTTTTAGAAATTGCCAAAATGATCTAGCTGAGTACTAACATATGCTAGTTTTGCAATGTACAGAGAGGGGCATTTTTTGCACAGTCCAAAAGCCAAAATTCCACAATTTTGTTATGCCCCTTGTAATATGGTTTGCTTTGTGTCCTTAGCAAGTTTCACTTCAGTATGTTTCAGGCCTCTTCTTGTAATATTCCTAAGCCATTTTGAGCTTTATAGATTATAGATGCTACAAAAATATGAGGCATCATTACTGTATTAAAGTGGAAGATTCTGAAAGGGCCATAAAGTGCTACTGAAACTAATTATAACAAGCGCACATTTATTCAGGTTAAACTACCAAAAGACCAGTAAAGGAGTTACACATGGCCTCCTCATGAATGCCAATAGAAATCAAAGTAGTTAATGTGATTGCCATGAGCACCAAAGAATTAATTACCAGGAAAAAAGGATACATATTTTTATAGCTTAAGCAGTTGGGTTTTTTTTTTAATTATTTCTACTGGAGAAAGACTTCCCAGAATTATTTCTACTGGAGACTTTAAGACTTGGCATAAAAAGTGCAGCCTTTGTCTGGATTCCAAATGAAGAAGGTGCAGATGGATGATATGGCAGCAATACATGGCAGCAAATACTTTATAAAGACCTCATTGCTGGTTTCATTTTTCTGCAAAGTTCAAATCACTTCCTACCCAGTTTTAGTTGTCAGTGTAGTCATTCTGGTTAGAATTTTGGATGAAATATATTTAATGTGTATCTCTCAACAGCTTTGAGAGGATATCTTCAGGGTTCTGGGTTTTTTTCTGTAAGCAATGATCCCTCTCCTCTAGTTTGTTTTTGAAGAGTAAAATTCCAGAGATTAATTTGTCTGGGAGATGCACTGAAAAGCTTTCTGAAGCAAAGACTACTAGAGAAACCTATCTTCCATTTAGTGCTGGCTCTTAAATGTATGTGGTAATCAGGACTTCCTTCTTCATTCTCGCTGTCCAAGGGCTCAAATGGGTTTCACAGAGTATGGCAGCTACAGTAATTCACACATCTCTCCCAGTCCCTCTGCCACAGGGGCCAGATTCTGCTGTCCCACCTTGTTATGGGCTGCCATGCTTTGGGGACAATCCTCCTGCCTGCATCTCCTCCAGCTTAGAGCACACTGTGCCTTGGCAGGAGCCTGGACATGCTGCAGACACTCACTTTTACAGACTGGCTGAGGCTGCAATTATCTTTAGTTGCCAAAATCAAACTCTATTTTAAAAATTTACCTACCACTTTTAAGATTGCATGTCAGTTTGCTCTTCTGGCATTTAAGTACTAATTGTTGTATGTAGTCCTGAGAAGTAATAGCTATATGCCATTTTTTTTTCTCTCTGCATGAAACAAACAATAGAGGTCTGCATAAGGCACTGCAGGCAAGTAAGCTGACAAAACTTCCTCCCTGAAGGAAGATGTCAGCATGTTGACAAAGCAGGACTGTGGATGCTTTAAGAAGAAGGAATGAAAAATAAGTGTAGGAAACAAAGTAAAAATGCTGAGCTTTCATAAGGTATACTGAGATAGGCTGATTGCAGCAGCAAAGATGATTTAACTGCAGATGTTATAATTTACTTATAGCACAATTGGCACTAAGATTTTACCTCTGTACTGCTTCAGGAGCTGGGATTTCTCATGAGGAGGTTTTTGCTGATGTCTGTATGGCTGTCCCTTCAAAAATTTCTTTTTCTGTAACACCACCTGAGACTCCCAAACACAAAAGTTAACACAGCGATGTAGCCACCAGTTTCCCCTTTTAGAGCAGATGTAACCTGCAGCAATTGCAAGCAATCCTTCGAGATTCATTTCTTCTCTTTATTTCCAAACATTATGAATGTTCACACAGCAGGCACAGCTCTAGGAGATGACACTGAGATAGCCTCTTCCCTGTCTGCTTGAACAGCTCCCCACCTTCTGCTTTCACCTCGAGGTGATACAAACGTGTCCAAATCTGGCAGAGCAGAGGCTTGAGCACAGCATGTGTCCCCCGGGCAGGTGGCAGTGCCACTGCTGTGAGCATCACTCACCCGCCTCGCAGGGACCTGCGGCACCCGAGCGATGAGCTCCCGCAGCCACAGCACCAGTGGCAGCCCTGCTGCTCCTGCCAAAGCTCACTTAGGCACTCACTCTCTTTGTGGGAGCTCCTGGGACACTTCTCCTAGGAATTAAAATGCCTGCAGCCAGATTTTTCAGCTGAGCCTCTTAGATCGCAGTTCATGTCCTGCTCACTATTCTATTAGTGGTGGGCTGTCTTCTTAGAGCCCTCCTTCTTTCTGTTAACTATGTCTCTGCCCAAGCATGAAAACTAAATATGAGACCATTGTTTTTGGTGTTAGCCATTTGGGCTCAGCCCCCACAGAGCCCAGGACTGATGGCCTAGGACTGATCCTGTGTGGTGCAGCCACCCATGGGACAGACACTGTGAAGGTCCCAGTGTCTCTAGTGCCTCTCAGTACCCATTGTTGAAACTGCTTCTTCTTGTTCAGCCACAAACCACCTGAGCTTGCTGCTCTACCAGCTCAGGCATCCTACTGAATGCTCCCCAAATCCAGTAGATTTTACTCAATAAGGAGTAGAAAGACACAGTAGAGACACTCAGTTTGCTCTGTGTGATTGCCTGTCCTTTCAGATGTGCAGTTATAAGAATGTGTGGTGTCAGAGAGCTCTGTTCTCCTCAGAGACAGTAAGGCAATTCAAAAGCCCCCATGTTATCTGACAAAGTCCTGATCAGCATGAGGCAATGAGGGTAGAAGTCCCATGAAGACAGTAGTAGAAGTCCCCACAATCTTTGAGAATTGTGCTGTACATGCCTGACCGTCCAACATTTGGGGTGGGAGTAATGCTACTTCAAAACAACGGGTTCCCTCATCTTTATTCCCTGTTTGGTGCAGTTTATTGTTCCTGACATTTTCCTGATAAAGAACATCCTCTACAATTAAGATCACGATTAAATGTATGAGGTTATTCAAAACAATTCAGTGCTTATGTTTCCCAGAGTTCTGGGAGCTGCCCAGCAATGGTTGTTCGTAGGCTTCTGTTATGGCTTTTGGATGTGTGTTGGTTAGTTATGACTGGTCACATCTGTCACATGAAGTCTAATATGAATACACACAATTTGAAGGCCTCTCTCACAGCTTGATTGCAATCAAGCACACACAAACAAGCCAAGGCTACACGGTGACCTGGCTCATCGTCTCCCTGGTTCTGAGCTCTCTGGTCCAACCAGGCTGAAACGCACCAGTGTGCTGTGGGTGTGGGAGGAAGCTCCTTTAAGAGAACTACTAGCTGCTTTGTAGTGATTTCTGGATTTCTTCTTCTTAGCTTCTTGCAATAGAGGTGAACACACCTGAGAAATTCAGCTCGACGGCTGACGTAGTGATTCGCCTGCTGGATACCAATGACAATGTCCCGAAGTTCTCCTCTGACTACTACATTGCCAGGATCCCCGAGAACTCCCCAGGGGGCTCAAATGTAGTCGCTGTTACAGTAAGTTTCAGTCACATCTTAAGAAATGTTCTCTTTTCTATGGAGACTTTTCTACTTTTCTAAGTTCAAGTACCTTAAAAATACTGGAGAGGGCAAATAGCAAGTTTTACTCACCATTTGACTTCTGGACCAAATCCAATTCCTTTCCAGAATCAACCGGAGAAAAAAAAAGTTCGGAAAAGAAGAGTTTTAGACAAATATTATTTAGGACAACAAGGGCCATCTGCTTTTAAGACAAATCACATGGCCTTTGAGTATTAAAAAAGCCTCAGCCAAATCAGTGTCCAGTGGGAAGATTCAGTCATGGCTAAGTGGAATTGGATTTACTGGATTTTGCTTGCTTAAGCATGAGTAAAAAGAAAACAAGATGGCTGCTTAGTAGGTATTAGTCTCCTCCTCTTGGGAGGAACCTGGCTGCTAAAGGCAGAATTAAACTGTTAATGAGGGCAAGAATATAAAATTAAAGTGCTTAGGATTGGGGAAAAAAAGCTCCCTATGTATGTACCTTCCCACAGTGGGAAAAATATGCCCATAGATTCTCCAGTGCCTTGCATTTTAATACAAAGAGAGTCAGGGTATTACAATGGCCCTGAGTGCTGGAGGAGCATTTCCAGCTGCCTCTCTCTAATGCAACTGCTGAGACTGGAAACAGCCATCATGTCACAAAGCCAAGAAAGCTCCTGGCCACCTGGGCCTCAGTGGGGGATGCAGGTCACCTTGAAGAGGCCACTCAGGTAAGGATGGTGGAGGCAGGTTGCCAGAGATCTCCAGCACAAGCTGGCAACAAGTAAGAAAGACAATTAAATAATCAAAACAATGAAGTGAGGAAGGCAAGTTTTAGTGATGGGAGAATCAAAGTGAAACATAATAGAGAAAAGGTTATTACATGAAACTAATAGGAAAGATATTAGAGAGTGTTAAGCATTACTATCCTTGAGGTAATAGGAATAAAAAAATATCTAGGACATGGACAGAAAAATAATATATATATTTAAAAATGTTTGCAGAAGCAACAAAAATTCTGAGCCAAAGTGCACAGAAATGTGTTGCTGAGGAGCCCATGTAAAATTCAGTCATGTGCTGTCAACTCAGTACTTGACCCAGATTCACAACTATATGTGAAAAACTAAGATGTTTCAGGTACTCAGAATGGCAATTCTGGAGGAAGTCCCAGGTATGCAAATGTTTTAAATAAAGTTAGACAGTACTAAACTAGGCTTTGGTCAAAATTATGGGGTGGGAGAATCTGACAAGTCAATGCCGAAGAACAAAACAACCCCTATCAGTAGGGCTGCAGGTGTGTTGTGTTAATCATGCAGGAGTCAAGACATTCTTCCAGTTCTCAAATATTTAAACAGGAAGATGAATGAATCAACCAGCACCACCATGAATTTTGATGGCCAGATACAATGGTGTAACACCTCCTCAGAGCTACCAGAGAAGCAGGAGCTTATGGAAATAGCTGCCACCAGATCAATAGCTCTCCTAAGCCTGAGCTAAGAAAGGAAGCCAACAAGAGTATGAAACAAAGATATCATCTGGCGTAGTATTTGCATTATTAAAAGTCACACGAGCACAGGAGTGATTAAAACATAAACAAAGCTGAAATACAATGTATGGATTGAAACATTTGTTATTCATTACTTTAAATCGAATCGAATTAAACAAGCAGAAGCTTAAAAATACTCTATATAAAGTAAATCATTTTTCTAGGGAATATTCATTAATGTTTAACTGACAATTAGGAAGGTTTGAGAGCTGGCTGTGTGTTCATGTCATTGAGACCATCTCTAGCAAAAGAGGATGAGGTAACTGTGGATGGATGGGGCCATCTAGCGTCTGTCTCCCTGCCAGAGCCCCCGGGCACCAGGGACAGCGTTCCTGGGACTGGCAGGGACATTTCCTGGTGGATAAGTTGTACACTTCCTAGGTGCATATTTTCTCATGCGGTTTCCCACTAAAAATGTGGTGGCAAAGAGAGTGAAAAGCATTTGGGCCTCTTGTTAAAAGAAAAATTAAATATTTCTTTTTGCATTTTAGTAAAATAAAACTCTCTTTTCTTTTCTTAAGGCTACAGATCCAGATTCAGGGCTTTGGGGAGAGATCAAGTACTCTATCTATGGAACAGGAGCAGATCTGTAAGTAACAAGTAAATAAATAAAACTACATAACCTATAAGCAGAGTTCTAAAAGAATTTTAAAAGAAAGCTAGCCGACTCATTCTTGATCTGCTCATTTCCAAGGACATTTATACCATGTTCTTTGTGAGTTCTGTGAACACAACAACAGTAAAGCTACTGTGATCGTTAAACATCTGCTTCATGAACCCAAGGAATTCTACCCACAAACCCCCAAAGAGATATAAGGCAGCTGAAGTATCAATACACAGGACTTGTTCAATCACCATTTGAAAAACACTTGTAAGAGAAAGAGAGGTTTTGATCTAGCCTAGGGAAAAGTCAGTTCTACAGAAAAAGAATCTCTTGGTTTTTTTCCCCTTCCCTTTCCATATGGCTTTACAAATAGCTCTTGTCAAAATAAATCAAGGAAGACAAGATATTCAAGGATATAAACTTCAGCTTTGGAGGTCAGCTGCATTGGGTGTTAAAAGCCTTTTAGTCATGAAAAGGAGAACCTGATGCTTACTTGATTTGTTAATAATGACTTCCTCCCTCTCCCTGTCTTTGGAGACAGTGCTGGGGGTAGATCATCTTGAAACAGTGGTTCCTTCACACCATATCCATCCCAGCTCCCAAGCATGGCTGGGATCAGTGACATGGCTGTCACAGTGATTCCTGCTGGAGCCTGCAGCTGCAGGGCAGGGCTGCAGGGCAGAACGCTGGAAATGAATGAGATTTTCAGGCACTCATCTCAAGAATCTTTTTTCCTCTGTACATTATCCACCTGGAGCTAAAGCTGAACTCTTCTTGGTCAGGTGAAAGCCGTTTAGGAGGCACAGTCAAAGCCCAAAATACAAGATGTTAAGGACGAACCTCTTCTGTAGCCAGAAGGATACACATATGGGAGCATTTCCACGATGGATTATTTTGAGCTCTTCACTAAGTCTTTAAGCTAGCTGCTAACTGCACAGAGAGAAGCAAGAAAAGGTCATGTCATGCAGGCAGACCTCTTAGGTTTAGAATGTAGCAGCTGGTGGAAAGAAGCTTGAGAAGGTTGTTGACAAAGGATTTAGGGGAAAAAAAAAGTAAGCACAACTTTATTCTGATTGGCATTATGGGGATGCTCAGATTTCATTGTTCTTGTGCAGTTGAATGAAGAAATTATGATGTGAGCTTTTCTCTTCCTTCTTCAGTATTTTTGTTTGTTTTCCTCATGCCAGAATGGCATAGCTCTGCAAGGCTGGATTGATTTTCTAGCTCTGGCATCTCTAGATCTGCTGAATACACAGTTTGATGCAGACAGGAGAATTTCAACTAGAGGCACAATGTTTCTGTCTTGGATATTACATCAGTGGGTGTGCAGTTGCGTGGGCAGAAAGATGAGTTGTAGTGGGGTAAGAGAAATCATGTTAACTGTTGAAGATGAAACCAATCTGATGGTAATCCTACTTTGGTAATCCAAGCCGCCAGTGGGAGCACTTCTATTCTTCCACTAAAATGGGAATGATGAGAGTGCTGTCTGCATGGTTAGGCTGGGCTGGGTGCTGAGGAGACAGCACAGGCACTGTCTCCTACACAACTATTCCCTCCTCTACATTTTGGATTTCATCAAAACTTGTGTTTGTATTTAACAGAGTTATGAGAACAACTGAAGATTTTGGATTACTAAATGCCCCTTTTATAATCACTCTCAATTGCATTCACAGTTGGAATACAGAAAATATTTTGCTACCCTGTACATTGATCAAAGGATATATAACAACCTTCATCTGTTACAAGCTCCACTGCTTGGAGCCTACACTGGCAGACCATTTTACAAAGACATTGTGTTGGTATCTTCTCTATAAATCCAAACTTTGGGCTGACACTTTTGACAGTGTCTCTGTAATTACAAATGTGTAAAATTGAAGTTGCAACAGATAAATCTGAACACCCACTCCATCCCAGTGTCAGTCTATGGAAAAATGATTATTTTTGGAGAAGATAATTTGCCCTGTAGTTTGGGAGATTTAAGAGCAGATTTTTTTCCTACCCATTCTGAGAAGTGAAGAGCTTAATATGTTATGCTTCTTTTAGCTATTTAGGAGATATAAATCAATCTTAATTTATGCAGGACAATCTATTACACTGTACTTTTAAACTGAAAAAAAAAAAAGTAAAAATAAGTTTAATGTTTTTCCTTTTAATGCAAGGAAATCACTCTGGGAGAAGGCCATCACACTGAGCATTTACTGAGGACAAATACTTTTAATGGAAAATACAGCTAAGATGGCACAAGAGAGACAAAACTATGAGACACTGATAGTTCTCTAGTTTTCAAGCCTTAAAGAACTAGACAAAAACTAGGTAGAGTGAAGGACTTGGAAACATCACCCAGAGAGGAATTAGGTGAAGAGTACCAGTGTCTGGGCACAGAATTTCAGTGTTCACAGCCTGCAGCAAAGGCAGGCTCAAAACACACATTAAGTGACCAAAAGTCTTCTCTTCCCTCTTTTCCAGGTTCCTAATCCACCCATCAACAGGTATAATTTACACCCAGCCCTGGGCTGTACTAGATGCTGAAGTGAACTCGAAGTATAATTTCTATGTGAAAGCAGAGGACACAGATGGGAAATACAGCTTGGCTGAAGTGTTTATCACCGTGCTGGATGTCAATGACCACTCTCCAGAGTTCAATGAAAACATCCAGGAAAAGACGATGATCATTGGGTCACCAGTGAAGATAGAGGTGAGGGATGGCACCGTGTGTCACAAAGCAGAGTGCTTTGGAAAAGCACCTGGCTCTGCTGTTTATTCTCAGGGGTCATGATGAATGTCTGAAAGTTGCCTTTTCCTGCAGCTTTATTTTGCACATCCATTTGGATGTAACAAATGGATTAAAGGGTGAATTATAGTATTTACTGACTGCTGAGAAGAAGAAATAAATTCTATAGGCAGAATATAAAGTCCTTTTACAGTATTTGAACGATCAGCTGGTGGACAATCCTGGATTATACAGTGATCACAAGAAGTCCAAATAAGATACATGAATGAAAGCACAGGGTTTTAAACACTTAACCTTCCTGACACCCCTTTGTGTTCAACCACACAACTTAGTTCCCTTCATTCTAAAGAACTGTATTCAATAATCCAGTGTGGAACGAAAGGTGAAAAAATGCAGTAGCAATTCTCAGGCAAAGGCACAGAACATCCTATGTTAGACACATTTAAATGCATATCATGAAGCCTGATCACACAACACCTTATGTTAGTAGAATAAATACCACAGCACAAAAATTAAGGCAAGCTACAGTTTATGGCAGAGAGCTAATCCCATTGCTCTTTATCACTTCACATTTGTCCCCCACACTGTGTAAGAAGCTCCCAGCTGAGGACCATTTGCATTCTACAGATAGGTTAGAGTTCAGTTTTTCCTCTGATTTTTTTTCACCTCAAATAGAAATCACTTATAAAGAAAGGAGCCTAGTCCTGCTGGTTTTCACTAGAAAATGTAGCCTAGCTTCCAAGATGAAATGAAAGCAGCCCAGTGTTGTGCAGAACTGAATGCTCAGAAGCTTTTTGTCCTCAGGCAAAGATACAAACAAAAACACATTTGTTTTTTACGCTTCCCCTACCAGGCTATAGACCAAGATGCAGAAGAACCCAACAATATTGTGGATTATTCCATCATGCAAGCAGATCCAGCCAATGTGTTTGACATAGACCAAAGCACTGGGGAAATCAAGCTGAAATCCTATATCCGATCTCTGGACATCATCCACAACATCACAAACAATAAAGACTGCATATGGTCATTGGTGGTCCAGGCCAAAGACCGAGGCTCCCCATCCTTCAGTACCACAGCAGTTCTGAAGATCGATATCACAGAAGAGGTAAGCAAATGTTTTAGAAAATCCTTGTGGAAGATGATCCCTGAAAGGCACCAAAGGGTAGACATTGCTTGCTCCACTTCTGAGACTTGCCAGCTCTGTTTTGTAGAGTGTTTTTATAGCCTTGTGGTAAATCTGGATTCTATAGCCACAAATGTGAAAGATATTTTGATCAGAAATATTGCAAAGGTACAAAGGTAGGAGCATAATGTAATTGGGAGATGAGTTTTTTGTTAGAGATTGTTAGATATGATTAAAGGTCTATAGACTTCTGAGACTAAAGGTAAATCCTGACTGCTAAATTTCTGCCTTTTTATTTTCTTCCAAGAGAAGAAAAAAAATCTTTTTCCCTTATAAAAAGTAAGTGGAAAGCAGCTGGGGTGAGAGTGAAATAAATCAGATAAATCAACCTGAGTGACATAGGAAAAGTGAGAAAAAGCTTTACAGAAATGCTTTAAAGTACATAGAACTTTGGATGGGAATTTAATAATTGCAGTATTATTAGCAGATGAAACAAGAAGACTCTAAAAGAATCTTGCACATGTAGGTTGAGATTTTCCTTAGTCCAGCTTTTACATCAGCTGAAGAACAAGCAGCAATTTATGGTGTGCAGCACATGCTTGCACGATTCTTATTTATTGTAACTGCCTTGCCATGCCTTTAACTAGGTACCAGCAGGGAGGAAATAGGCTTTAAAGTAGATGAGAAACACATCATTAGCCTGACAGTCTCTGGACCACACACATAAACTGGGAAAAGATGCAAATCTCATCCTACAGGCTGCAGCTGGCCTTCTCTTTGTTTGGTCACAATGCTCCCACTGCTCTTAGGTCTGTTATAATCTTTCTGTTTTCTCCATCTCCTCTTATTCCACTGACACTCCTTTATGAGGCACATTCATATGATAGTTTTTGTGCACAGTTCAGAGCCTGCTGGACTGCCAGGGGACTTGGCAGTGCCTGGCACGGGGCTGCTTCTTGGGGCCAGCCAGCCCTGTGGGCTGCAGGGCTCTGCCGTGTGGAGCTGGGGGACTCTGCACAAGGGGTGTCAGTGGTAAGTCTAGAGATGTAGCTGTTCTTACACATACAAAGGAAATGCACTGCTTAACACTTGGATTTCTCATGGAAATGAAGTTTTGGTGGGTTTCATACAACAAACAGGAATTGCTGCCCACAGCCAAGAGCGTCAGTACTTGCCCAGGCTGCACGTATCAGGAGTTCATGGCACTGTCCTCAGGCATGTCCCTCCCTCCCGAGTGAGCTGGAAACCTCTCTGTCAGCATGGGGGGCTGATGAGTGTGAGTGGAGGGAGGGTGCCCCACACCTCCCCTGCTGCAGGACAATGTGTCCCTGAACCAGCTGACGAAAGACAGCTGGAAGGAAAACAAAAGTAGCTGATACTTTGGCATAAGGAATTTCCTGAATTTCCTTCTTGTGCTTGAAGCAATAGCATTACCTGATGCAAGATAGTGTCTTGTATGAAGTCCCATGTCTGCTTCTTTTTCTGCCATTCCACGGGTACATATTTGGCACAAAGTGGGGGAGAGCCCTCCTCATGAAGTCTAAAGGGAAAGCAGAGAGCTTGTGATGGCACGGATTTCCGCGCACACACAGTTTTTTTTTCCGTATTCCTGTGCTCTTCTTGATGCCAAGTCCCAACAGAGAGTCTGAGATAGCAACAGCATCTTCATTCTTTGAGTAGGTTTCTTCAGCAGGATCTGAGCTACTGATCTAGTGTCACATCCTCCATAACCTTTTGTATATATATCTATTACTTACTCCATTGCTTGAAATGATTTGGTTGGTTGGTTAGATTGGAGGTTTTTTATCCCATAGCATCCCATCTTTTTTGCAGGAACAGCTTTCAGTTTGCATGTATGAGAGATGCAGTGCCAGTGTCCAAAACCCTTGTTCTCTCCCTGTGTCCCAGGAACAGCACAGTCACTGCTAACACTTTGTGAAGAAAACAATCTCTTGGTGTAGGCATACTGCATACACACACACTCTCTCTTTCTCTGAGGCTGTTACAAATGTGCATTTCATCCCTCTGTGCTCCAGCTGCACAAAGGCTCTTATTTCACTGTTTGGTGGGCATTTATGTATTACTGATTTTGGATGGGGAGGATATTTTGAATGCATCCCCTAGAGGCTTCCTGCAGTGTTAATCACAGTAAGTAATTAAACAGGCATATTTTCTGATTAACGTTCACCATTGCAATTAGCACAAGTCTGTGCCCTTCGAGTTGGATGCCTTGTGGCTAAGTTCAGCAGTACTGCACATCAAAAGGACCTTCTTCTCTTGGAATAATACAGTGCTAAAAGAATCCAAAAGCCTTTTCATTTAACTGAGTCTGATTTTATGGAAATTGGTATTGAGGGGCATCTGTTAACATACCGTCCTTTCACAATAAATAAAAAATATCCTTTCACAGAATAAAAAACATATGTTGGAAAAGCCAGTCTTTTTCCATCCGTATGTCTCACTCAGAAATCTATTCCTGCTGCCTGATATTTTCAGAGGCTGATTCCCACTCCTGTTCCTGAAGGTTGGCCTGATGGGGGCATCCCTTGGCCTCTTGATGACTCCACTGAGGTTCTGCAAATGTAAGAGGGGGCGTTTATTTACACTTCTTCCTGGACTGAGGCTTAAGTCCTTATTTAGACAGCATAATCTGTAGTTCTTAATAGCTTTGGCCAATCATTTAAACTTCTAAATATAGCAGGTGAGTCTCAGTTTTAGGTTCTCTTAACTGAAAGGCTCAACAAAAATCTTTGAAGTAACATGGAGATCTTCTCCTCTCTCGTACTAACTGCAACCATGGGAACTGTGGTTGATGGCACTGCACAGCCCTTGCCACATTCACAGAGCAGTTAGCAACTTCTTTCCACAGTTTCATGGACTTGAAAAAAATGTTGGTTTGATTTGAGAAGTCTTGCCTCATGCTGATGTTTTTATTGCAAAGTGATGCAAACACAGCCTTCATATACAGTGATAGCACTGAGCTTTGGGATGAGCATTGCAGGGGCAGCTGGTGTTCTACCTTGGATCAGGAGTCACTTCTGAAGCAAATCTCCTGATCATCCCCACATACTGTGCCTGTGCCTCACATAGCTCCAAGCACACAAGGTAGACTCCTTTCAGAGGAAAATGTGTTTGGGGAGCACACCTAGTGTGCCTGGGCACCAACAGGCAGTCCCTCCCTGCAACCAGGCTAGAACAAAACCCCAGGAACACTGAATGCATGGAAGTAGGCTCCTCAGAACCAACTGGTTCATTGTTCAGATAGTACACATCCACTTGCTTAAGTCAACATAGCCCAAGCTGTCTGTAACACAATCATTGAACCAAGCATTTAAGATCGAGTCCAACTGTTAATTCAGCACTGCCAAGTCCATCACAAAACCATGTCCCTAAGTCCCACATCTACAAATAATCTGCAATAGCATGTGCTCTTAACAGGTTCGCCTACTTACTTAGACTCCTAAATATAGCTGGTGAGCCTTGGCTGCTCATGTGCTCGAACAGATCAACCACATTCCTTTTGGGTCCAGCTTTTGGATACTTGGCCCATGTGCTCTGCTCACTGCAACCCATACATTAGGAAAGGCTGTTGAGAAACTGTCACAGAAAAAAAACAGCAAAGCATTATCTTCTGTGAGCAGTGGTATTTTAACTCCTTTGATAGCTGTTAAGAAAGAGTGTTTCTTCCAGGTCCTGGCCCACAGAGATATGACAGCTTCCATTTCATCATGTATCTGTTTTCATTTTATGTGTACCAGAAAAACCAGTACTCTTCAAAATGCAGTGTGCCTTTTAGGAAAAAAAACAATAGCTTCAGCAATTACAAAGTGGTACTATTTGTTGAGCTGGCTACATGGCACTGCTGGTAATCAACACATGGACTTGAAGATGTTTTAAATGTGCGCTCCCCATAAGTCTCTCTGAAGCCTGGCTAAGATTATGACATCCCTGGCTTGTATTGCAAGTTCTTCCTCGTATTCATCCTGCCAGTGCAATGGCCACGACAAACATAAACTCTCCCCCTGTGTGCTTACAAAATGCCTGATGTCTTTATGCAGAACAGTTGTCATCCAAGGCTAATTCCAGGCAAAGCTTTGTATAGTAGAGGTCAAGTAACTAGAATAGAGGCTGAACCAGCTAGCTGTTAATGGGTTTAGTTTTTGGTATTAATCATCTCTTCATCATTGGAAGTCCTGAACAGATGCCAGACTTGCTGAGACCAGGAGACTAAATGAAGCCACATGCAAAAACTCTCCATACATCTTTCATCCATTTTTACCTCTGCAGCTGTAGTACCTGGGCAACATGTACTAATGTCTAATCTCATTTATTCAATGTTTTCAAATAACTAGTCAAATATTCTTCAGCCATCAGTGCCTTCCTACAAAATAGATCTTGACAGAACTCGTAACTGGATGGACTTAGGTCATATGCTACTTAGCAGGGCTTATCTGACACTTAATTCACCTGACTTTCACATGAAGTTAAGTAAACCAGCGTAAAATTTCTATCATCTGATGAGATTTAAGTACAAAAAAATACATGTAATGCAGAACAGCAAAGCTGATGTGAATCTAAGCTCCACCAAAGTCATGGGCTGCTTTGCTTCTGGTTTCTAGTTCCACTCCTAATTAAATACTGGAAGAACTCTCTGCACAGCAAAATGATGACAATTTGTCCCTACCTCCCCAGTGACGTGGTCTGTTGAGTTTCACTAGCATTTCTTTTCCCCTTTCTTGTTAGCAATGGGACACATTCAGAATAGGAGAAGAGTGGGCTTGATAATGTGTTTGAGATAGGTTGTGAAAACACAGAAATTAAGACCTGGAGGTGTTTATTAGTTAATTTACATGCCCCAAGTTTAGGGATGTGACATTAATGACAAGAAGTACTCTGAAGCACACTCTGGGATACTCTTAGACATCTTCCCCCCAAAACTGGGGAGGGAAAAGAGATGGGCATCCTAGATTAGAGTCACAGGGAAATCCATCCGATCTGCAAGTCAGAGGTTAAAGTCCAAGCTATGCACAAGGTTCTCCTTATACACACTGTCTTTGATACCTATTTTAGCATATGGTGACTACTGCTCCAGAGGTGTCCTTTTCCTCCCACTGACCAAAAGCTGGGAGCTTAAACCTCTAACTAAAACACGGATCACCTGTTACTACTCATGCAAAGTTTGGGTGAGGATTCCCCCATGGAGTCAAAGACAGGGGACTGGGGCACAGTGGGAAGCCCTGTCTTTCTGCAGCCACACATCACTTTATGACCAACTCTCAGTAACCAAAGCTGCATGTGAATGTGCCATTTGTGAAGGATCTCCTGGCCTTGTATAGCATTACTGTCTGTTCAGATACCACCCGTATTCACAACTAACTTCTCTTGGAAATGCAGTCCAAGGATGGGCTGCCATGCCCTGAATAAATCTATGTGCCATGCCTCCAGCCTTTATTCTCCAATCAGCCCAGTGTTTATATGTGCTTCCTAACTTCTTTTACTGTTTCTGGATTCAGTTCAACATCATTGCAACTGCCTCCCCTCCTGTGCCTAGCTTCCTTTATTTTATAGGCTCTCTATCCTGTACACACTTCAGCCTAGTTCCCCAGCTGTATTTAAAATAGATACTGGCCTCTTTCAACCATGTGAGGGTTGACCATTTCTCTTATTTTTGATATTTCCAGATCAAGTCCAGGGTAAAATCCTATATTTTAGGCCTCAAGAAGCGTCCATGGACAATATATGGAATATGCATGAGTGGCGTCCTTTCCACCATTTCTGTTACAATGGTGATCTCCACCATCATGTACTGGAAAAGTGTGAAAAGATCCAAGCTCCACCCGCAGGGCAAAATCCGCAAAATTATACGGGGACCTCCGAGACGCACAGTGTGCTAAGTTGGAAAGCGAACTGGCCATTCATTTGTCCTTAATATGCCAATGTAGCTTATGTCATTGCTGATTTCTTTTCTTTCTATAAACAAAGCTCTTTAGCTCCACTTATCTCCCCTACCTCAAAGAGTTTTGTTATGTCTGTAAAAGAGTACTTGAAAACAGAATGCAGCACATATCTGCTAAATACTCATTTGTATATTGACATTTTATAAGCAGAAGTTTTCTCCTAATCCTTTTCAATGCCATGCTCAGTAATTGAGCCAATTATTTTCTTGCTCCATTCTTGCAAGTTAAACACTACGGTGACATGCAGGAACCTGCCCTAGTTTGGTGGAAATACTGCTGTAAGCTTTTGTGTTCAAGTCATCTACCTCACATATAATGTTTACCCAGTCTCTGGCCCCACCTAAATTCTCCAGCCCTGGACTGGACTGGCTGTGTGACTCTCTTTTTTTTTTTGGAGACAACTTCCATCAATCAGCTCTACTTGTAACATATTTTGGACAAATGAAATTTCTGGGTCACTGTCTGTCCCCTAGAGTAAGTCATGTGTTTTCTTTGTACTCCTTTACAGACTCTTCACAAAGGGCCTATGGCCGCCTTTTTGATGCAAACTAAAGATAACCCCATGAAAGCCTTAGGAGTGCTAGCTGGTGTCATGGGCATAATGGTGCTGATAACTATCATGATCTCTACTGCCATGTTCTGGCGCAACAAGCGGTCCAACAAAGTCATGCCGGTGAGAAGGATCATAAAAAAGAGACAGATGCCGCCATCCCGGACAGTCAGGATGGAGTGGCTGAAGTTCAAGAGGCCCAGCAACGCTGCAGAGAAGTTTGTCGTTGAGGAGGACGTCAAGAGCCTACACAATGAGAACAGCAACAACAACGTCCAGGTTGTCCCCGTGCCGCCAGCAGCCCCCCTGCCACCGCCACCCCCTGCCCTGGCTCCACGGGGCGATGCCCCAGGGTGGCGGGTGCCAACTGTGTCCGGCTCCCTCACTCCCAAGCATGTAATCAAGCCCCCAAAGAAGAAAGGTCACAGCAGCACCCACAACGCCCTCGTGTCAGAGCTCAAAATGAGGTTTGAGAAGAGGAACGCAGCTTTCGGGGAGCCCCACATCTAGGCGCTCTCAGCAGCTCCCAGAGACTGCAGACTGTGGCTGGGCATGGATGTTTTTATGTGCTGTCTCTTCCCCATGTCTGTCAGCACCCTGTGAACCAGAGCAGCTTCTCGCTGTGATAGCCACCCCTCACCTTCTGCAAGTACCACGTGCTGTGAGTCACCCCACCCGCAGAAGCGCTGCCTCCGTGTGCAGTCGCAACTGCGGCTCCTTCGGCCGTGTCCCGTGGGCCCTCCCTGCAGCTGTGTCTGACCACGGTGCTGAGCGCGCCAGCCACAGCCTCCCCAGGTGAACAGGGACTCAGGTTGCCCCTGGTTTGGAGGTCTCTGCCCAGAGCTTGGGTTTTCAAACAAGATGTTCTGCAGCCAAGGCCCTGGTGGATGGTTCTTTCTGACCCGGTCTGGCAGGTGGGTTTGAGGTGTCAGAAAATCCATCACTTCAAATCCCAGACCCATTTTTGAAGATGTTGGCACGGCTGTGGCAGCAGCACTGAGTCGAGGTGCAGGTCTCCTACAGCAGTGACACAGCCCTGTCCCCAGAGCACAGTGTGCTTTGCAACAGCTGGCGGAGTGATGTGCTCGTGGCCTGAGTACCTTCATTCCCGAAAGGTAAGCGGGCAGGCTCGGAGAATCTCTTCATTTTCCTGCAGCTTACGCTGGGTTTTGCCAGAGCACATTGACATGATGCTGCGCTTTGCTTCTGCCCTGGACTTGCCTGCTCTGAGGAGGGATGGGAGGGGCACCTCAGCCGTCCCTGGACCATCAGGGCCAAGATTCGAGCACAGAAGTTCCATAGCAGCTCTCAGTCAGCACTGCCTCCTTCTGACACTGCGCCCCAAAAGAGTGGGAGCCTGGCAGGAGAAGGGCATGAATAAAAACACAGGGAACACTAGGTAAAACTGAGAGGCAAATGATAAGTGGAAGACAGAGACAAGTGCTGAAAAGTTGCATATGTTGGCCAGGGAAGTGTCTGGAAAGATCATGTGGTGGTGTACACTCTAGCAGAAAGTGTCAAGGAATATATTTAATCACCTCTCCTGGCTCGTTGCAGGGACTGGTGTGTGAAAAAGGAGATTTCCATAAAATATTCAGGTTTTTCTTATCAGTATTTTTGAGTGAATTAAACAACAGTTAATGGGAGGGGACTGGCAGGGCAGCTGACAGGTTTTTTTTCCTTTACATGACAGTAAAAAGGCACTGAGAGCAGAGCACTTTTTTCACTGGCTCTACCCGAGGGACTCCCCCTCAGGTTTGTTTCTGAAGAGATGTTTTTCAGCTGGGCCTGGCTGTTTCACATCCCCTTGAGAGAAGTCAGCACCAATGGAGCTGGCTGGGGAGCAGCACCCGGTGCCCTCTCTGAGACCAGCCCTGCAGAGAAGCTGTGCAGTCATGGTACCAGGAACATCAAGGTGGGGAGCAAACCTGACGGGACACACCATGTTAATTCAAGGGGTTCATGAGACTTCTCCAGCTGTCATTTCAGTCAAACCAGCAGACCTGGCCCTCAGGATCTCCTCTCACTCCAGTAGCTGAAAAAATTCCACTTTTTGCAGCAGGACTTCATTATTTTAGGGTATGGCTGGTTGAATATGAAATGACCCACTTACAAGGAAAATCTTGTATTTTTTAACTTCAGTTCAATCTGTCTAGAAGCCATAGTGCTCATGGCTCATGTCACCCATGAGCTGAGCCAGCAGCTGTAGCCAAGAGGTGCAGCAGAGTCCCAGCTGGGGGCCACAGCAGGAGCGCTGCTCCCAGAGCCTCTCCTGTCACATCTCTCCTTTTCTCTACTGTTTTCTTATCTCTCCTCCTGGGGCACTGTGATGTGAAGCCCAGGTTCTCACCTGTCCAATCACCCCCTCCTTGTCCCCTGGCCATAAGCTGGCCGGAGGGAGGGGATGTGCAGCCCCTGGCCCCACTCCTGCTGCCCTGTGCAAGCACCTGCCTTCTGCTGGCTGAGTGTCTGCAGGTTCTGCAATCTTCCCCAAAGCTCCTGATTTATTCCCCACACCACTGTCTTCCCAAGTGTTGTGTTATTGCCACTATTCTGTGTTCATTCTCTAATGAAGAAAGCCTATAAAGACCATTCAATTAAGTCAGATTTAACAGGAATTACAGGCTTATAGTCTTAGAGATTATATTTAAGAGGCAATAAAGATGTTTTATTACTATGTTGTGATACTCTTTCCCAGTTACTCTGTATTTCAACTTCAAGGATTTTTTTTAATAAATAAATTTTAAAAAAATATACAAAAGGTGTTTCTGTACTTGGTGTGCTTCTGCTGACAACGATGCCTTGTCATCACCTGTTAGGTGTCCAGCCCCAGGCAGCCAGGCTGCTTTTTAGGATGACCAAATGGACCCTTCTGCAGGCTGCAAGTCAGGAGAGAGGCTGTGAGGTTTATGGACAACACCGGCCTGGAAGGAGGGGAGGAGAGAAGCAGGATGCCATTGGCACAGGCCATGGGCAGGGTCACAGAGAGCCCCTGGCCAAGCTCCCGTGGTACAGCCCTCTGCAGCATGGCCCCGGGGCAGGGAGGCAGCGGGTTCGGTCTGATGCCAGCGGCCAGTGTCTGCGACTTAACTTCCTCCACGTGCTCAAGGGATGTTCTGTCTTTCCCTGGCTGTTTCCTCACTGTGATTCAGCACCTCTCTCCAGTCTCTACAGTGTACTGCTGTCCCTCCCTGCTGACTGGGGTGGAAGAAGGCCAGTCATTACTGATGGTGCTTTGTTACTTACTCCCCCTCACCCACAGCCCCACACTGGTCTTCAACCAGCATCAGCTCATGCTTCACTCTGTATTAGCCATGTCTGCAGGTGGTTCTCCCAGGACAAGGTTTTCCTGCTTGGCCAGCTGCTTCTGCCCCTTTCTCACCACTCCAGACCCCTGTGACTTGTACTGAAGCTGCCTGGCCTCCTCCATCCCTGCAGCCAAACCCCAGAGCTCCTTGGAATCCAGGTTTCTTTCCAATTTTTAACTGTGAAAGGCCAGAGATGAAGCAGAGGACCTCTGTGTATTCTGAAAACCTGTCGTGTTTATTGCTTTGACACTAAAAGACTGACAAAACTAGAAAGTCTTGTGAAGTATTAACAGCGAGAGTCAGCAGTGACAAAACAGAGCTCTGTTCAAAAGCTGTGCAATACAGTACAGCAGAAGGAGGTGCTGGGGGAGGAATCATAGGGCTTGAGGAGAGACAGCATGGAAAACACACACCAAAAACCAAAATACAGTTAGAAAGGCAAGCTACCACAGCATGAAGCTCACAACAGCTGGGGTGTCTACTACACGTTTTTCTTTTTGGGACAATCTATAACACATATAACAAGGGCTGTGGGACTATGGGCCGCATGCTTTGGTTGTGCTGGAAAGCATGAGATCAAAAAAAGAAAAGTAAGTCACATGTCCTCAGACCCCTGAAAATCACAGCACTGAGCTGCTCCACAAGCAGGAGGCAGTCACTTTTACATGAAACTTTGGGCTTTTTTTGCCTCTAGCAAAGAGGCAAGCTTCAATTTCAAAGTAGCAGGATGGGGAGGCACCTGTCTGCATTTAGGAAACATGCCTGGCTTGCCTCTTCAGCTCCCAGCCTGCTGCTCTATGTTCTCTGCCCTTGTCCACTTGTCCCACCAGCCTGCTTCAAGCACTTGCACCTTTCCTGTTTGTGGTACAACCAAAGCTGTGAATCTCTTAGGGCTGCGTAAACCTTAAGGAGTAAAAAACAAAAAAAAAAACAAAAAAACAAAAAAAAAAACCACAACCCACCCCCAAAACCAACACCTCCGGTCAAAATAATTTTTTCTCCAGCTTAAATAAAATCTGTTCATCATGTTGACCCGATCCTCCCCACCATTTGTTGTTGCTGGGCTGTGACCACAGCCGTGCCCAGCTCCCCTGTCGGTTCCCAGGAGCTGGCACCGGTGTGGGTGAGTGAGGGGACACCTCTGGCCTTTGGCCACAAGCATTACTATTGGTTCGGGGGCTGATTTTTTGTGTTGGTTTTCTTGGTGTGTCAGCGTGCCTTGCTCCGTGACTGTGCCGAGAGCCCGGGGCTACGGAGGCGCAGCTCCACTCACACCAGTGGCCGGACAGCCCGGGCACCTCCATCCCCAGGGCTCCCCAAGCCCGCCGCAAACCCCGGCG